GAAGAAGATTATTGATTCCGTTTAAGTTTATGGCATTTTATATACAAATGAGTACAAAAGTAACGTTACCAGGTGTGATAGATGTATATATATTCAATAAGTGTTATGTTGCATTTACAGACAAGTGAATCTCGCCAAGAGTGGTCAACAACAGCACCTGTAACCGAGAAAAATGGTAGTTGTACTGATTCTGAGAAAATATATACATCTACATTAACTCTATCAAGATATACAGTGTTTACTGACAATACAGATATAACTGTGAAGTTTCAGTGTGGTGCCATATCAATAACTGGGACAGAAGATCAACTTTTTACACAAACGTCTGCTAATGTTAGATTTGCAGGTACTTTTCTAACGAACTTTCCTAACAATTGAAAGAAGTAATCTGTAACATTCAGTAAAATTGTCTTTTTACACGACCAACACTTAATGGTCAGATGGCGGATTTTCTAAAATGAAGAAATATAAATTTGTAATTTTATGAAAGTATTGTATAAAAACAATCACGTCTGTTATCGATTTGCTCACAATGTTAGTTGTTTACTGGCAGACATGCCACTCTAAACAACATTTACACATAATGTCTTACCACAGCTAGACTTGATTCAGATGGACAGAAAAACGTTTCTCGATGTTAAACTTAATTTTATTACTATTGCGTTTTATTAATAACGCAACAGTGTTACATTTATGCATGAACTCTGTTATAATTTGATTTTACTTTTTAGTCTTCTAAGCATACACATAGATAATATACGTAGTGATTCTAAACATGTTACATTTTGCTTCAGTACGAGTTTCAACAGTGACATTAAAGAATGGGAATTCAGTTTCATCAAATCCATTAGAAGTAAACAACGGGGAACCTCATACATTGACATGTACATCTAGTGTTAGCAGACCAACAGCAACTATCATCTGGTATTTTGGAGGTCAGGGACAGAAAAGAGAAACTACAAATACTTCTAGCTTTACATTCACGCCAGAATATTCGGATAATCAGAAACAAGTTTATTGTATAGCATTCAATTTACAAACAGAAAACCAAGCTGTGTCTTCAAACGTTGTGTCACTGTATGTAAAAGGTATTTCCAATCCTAAAAAGATTCTTTTCATCCCCATCTTTAGAATATACACTATTTTTACTTTTATTTTTGCGTTTAGTTCAGTTTACTTCAGAAACAAATTTGTTGTAAGATTTGCAATGTACAGTATCAAAAAGTGTTTTAGTATTGCTGAACTTAGACAAAAGATTTATAATTGCGCTACTCAATTGTATTACCAAATTGCAAATTGGTTAAGTGCTGCAAAATACTGTCTATGGTAACTTGTATTTTTTTTAAAGTTCTGGCCCCTTACTGTAGAACAATTTTAACTTTCACGCCTATGTGGCCATGACTTGATGTGATATTTAATAAAAAGTATTAGAGACTTTCTGAACTTTCTGAAGGAGAAAACAAGGTGACTGTGTTATAAGAAGATATGAGAAACTAACCCCTGACTCAAATTCTTCTTCATTTATTCATGTATAAGTTTACTTGGGTAAATTATACTTACTTATTTTTGAAATAAAAATAATTTCAGTTGTAATTGTATAGACACCGATATTTTTTATAATACTCCTGTTTTCGAGAAAAATCTTTGCATTACACAGAACGAAAAAGAATATATATATGTGTTTTGAATATACTCACCTACATAATACTGTTTAAATATAAAAATAATCTTGGGTGATCTAACTATAATAACATATTTTACACATTTCAGTGAAGGTAGCTAATGTAACACTAAAGGATGGCAACACTGAATCATCAGGAACACTTGAAGTAACAAATGGTGTATCTAAAATATTAACATGTTCAGCAAGTGAAAGCAGACCTACTGCCACAATTATCTGGTATATCGGAGAAAATGATGAGAAGAAAAGAGAGACTGTTACAATATCTACATTTACATTTACACCAGTTATCTCCGACCATAACAAACAAGTTTATTGTAAAACTTCACAGTCAGGAAATCCAGATGTTTTTTCAAATAGAATAACACTTTATGTTCAAGGTTGTGATTTTCTTCACATTCCTATTGTTGATTTGTCTCAATTTAAGCTTCAAACTGTAAGATATGCTTTCTAAATTCTTATACGACAAACAATTTTTCTTTCAACATTGCAATGTTGTTTTTAAAATAATGTTCTCTTCATATCACAGTCAAATATTGCTTGTGATTAAAAAATGATAATCAATAATGTTGCGCATACAGTGCCAAATAATGCCTTTTTATACTTATATCTCATTGAGCCTAATGGTCATTTATCTAATACTGCTGATTTAGAAATAGTAATGATTCATTTGCAGGGGAAATTGATAATGTTAGTTACCCAAGAAAGCCCACTTAGGTGAAACGACCGCCATGATATGACAATACAATTGTGTTAAAGTCGGCATAAAACCAGAAAAAGTGAACAGCCATGAAAGCTTTCGGAACAAGTTATATAATAACACACCAATATATATATATATATATATATATATATATATATATATATATATATATATATATATAGTTTACCTTTAAATGTATAGAATAAAATTTCTAGTAAGTTAGCTGGAAGGAATATACTTTTATTTTATTCTTTTTGACAGATATTGTTGTCATTTTTTTCCAGTATTAGCTACCACTCCTACAATCACAGATCTTACAACAGAAAAATTAGAAGGAGATCAAATAAAATATCAATGCACTTCCTCTCAAACACGACCTGTTGCTATAGTAACATGGAAGTTAGACACTCGCACACTGACTGATGTACAGAATACAGAACATAGTCATGGGAATGATCTTAAATCTGTTACAAGTATTGTTACATTTACAGCAAATAGAACTGATAACAACAAAACAATTTACTGTGAAACTACAATACCTGGTCAAAGTAATTTAGTGAAGGCTCAAGAAAAAATAACTGTGTATTGTAAGTAGAATGAAAGAAAATAAATATATCAATATTAGTTTTGGTTTGTGTAAGATAAAAAACAAAATGATATGTTCAGTTAAGTTATTATTTGAAAATAATATATGTACACAAAATCATCATTCAGAGCATTATTGCTGTTGTAGAAAATAATATAAAAAGAAACTTCTTTTAAGATACTGCTTTTGTAGTCTAAAGATATTCAGAATTTTCAGACGATAGACTTGTGATTTTGTTGATACTATTTTTTTTAAGATTTAAATATATATCTTTTCCATGAATGCTTAGGTTTTAAATACTGCAGCGGAAACTTCAATGACGGATAACGAATAGTCCAGTGTTTACGACTTTTTTTGGAGTTGATATGGGAAAACTAATAAACCATTGAATTTTTACTTTAAGTTTGCTGAATCGCTGTTTTGTTATTTTTGTGTCTGTTTGACTTTGATAAATAGTATAATTATAATATTTATTTATTATTTTACCATTAATTTTTATTGTTTTATTCATAGGGCCACCAGTGTTACCTGTTATATCAACAAGCAACTTTCCATTTCTAGAAGGTCAGACAGGAAAGAGTATTTATTGTTCCTCATCTGATTATGGTAATCCTACAGCTACAGCAACATGGACCGCACAATATGGATCACCTGATAGTGCTGATACAAGGAAACTAAGGTTTCCTAAACTAACATACCAAGGTGATAGAAGTCCAGTAAAATGTCAGTTGAAGAATTTATTCACGCAGAAGAAAGGTCTTCAGATCCAGTCCATACAAGTTCTATTACAAGTTGAATGTAAGAAAAATATATTTGGCATTAAAAGCACGGAAACGATCACTCTAATATACTTAAACACGAATTCAGAATGTTTCAATGTCAATCCTGCAATTGAATTAAAGCTTGATCCTTACGCAGACTCTCCTTGTTACCAAAGACGATTGAAGTCATTGTCTCTTACGATGCTTTAAAACCCATGTATTTCGATCTATGTTGTTTAAAGAAGAACTGAAATAAATAGAAAAGAAACTAAACTATTGTCGGATGAAATAAAACAATGTCCTCAAGTATGAATATATTTACACAAATTTTACAGATTTTCCAAAAGTACAAATTATGGCGAATGGGAAACAAGTAACTACCATAACGACAAGTGAAGGTGAAACGCTGTCTGTTACATGTAATGCCACTGGAAATCCAACACCAATAGTAAGTTGGGTGGGACAACAGTCTAGTAGTCCTACTTTGTCATTTGATGATATAGATAGAGCAGACCATGGTTACTACACCTGTAGGGCTACATCAACATCATCTCATTATCCCAGTCATAACTTTGCTACTGAGGAAACATTGGCTGTCGTTGTTAACTGTAAGTTGCTATAAATATACTTATGATGACTATTCATTATTTGTTTGGGGTATTGTTATTAATATAAAGTGTTACACCTTGCAAATAGAATATAAGCTACAATGCAAAATAAATTTTATTTAACCCTTTAATTTCTAAATTCGTAGGTGGTAAATTTTTCCACCAGTATCATACTATACCGGCCAGTATGTCTTTGCACTTTGACCAGTCTCTATACCTTTCAAAGCTTAATTTCTGTTTTTGATATCAAAATCTCTTAAACTTTAAATGGATTGTTTCAAATTCAAAGCTTGTCAATCCATTTCTTTAAACAAATCTAGCAGAAGAAGAGCTAAATCAAAAGTTTTGTCAATTAAATAGATCTGTAGTCACCTTTTACAAACTGAATTACTTTAGCGTTTGATAAAATGATGAAGCTCATTGACAGCTTAACATTGTTGTCCTGTGGCATTATGCTCATTTTTTCGTTTTCAAGTTAATTTGAATCAGAATTGTATTTCAAAAGATTGACTTTTGTAATGGTGATTGACCAATAGCTGATAATTACAAATGTTGAGGATAAGATATAAAAAATAACTTAAATAAAACAGATTGCCCAGCATCTTAATTAGATATAACTGTACATGTTATTTCACAAATTGTGTTTCTCCTGTTCTACAAGTCTTCCTAAAATACAGTTACCTCTCCTGGTCAGTATTTTAGGTATTCTACTATTTGATTTATTACTTTCACACTGGTATTCATAAGTCCACAAACGATTGGATAAATCTGAGAACAAGAGACATTTGTCTCGGTTGAAATGTAAGTGGTTACCGCGGTAAAGTCCTTCAACACGTCTTTGAGATCCAAAATATTATCCCACTCGTGATCTTTGAGTAACAAATTGCTATCACTTTTCTTAGTGAACTTATCGTCTAACATAATATCCGTGATAACACGTTTTTGTTCACACAGTCTTTCTAACATGAGATGCGTTGAGTTCCATCTCGTTGGCACATCTTGAATAAGTTCATGTTCAGGTACTTTGAACACTTTCTGTCTATTTCTCATTTCTGCTGTTAAGGTCGTGGAATGTTTAAAGTGTCCAACGAGTTTTCTACTTTTAGCCACTATTTTGCTTACATTTGGTAATTCAAGTGCGGGTTTTACGCACAACTGAAGCGTATGTCCAAAGCAGCCTACATCACCCCAATCCTCGCACTTTTCACTAGCACTTTGCATATTTCTCGCGTTATCATGTACAATTGACCCAATTTTGTTTTCTAATCCGAACTCAGATACACAATCCTTCAGTTTATTTGCGAGATTTTCACCAGTGTGTCTCTCTTGCATTTCGCGAGTCATCAACACGTTAGATTCCATCACCCAGTCATCAGTAAGATGATGTTCAGTAATAGTCATGTAACTGTCAGTAGCATTAGATGTCCATGTATCAGTGGTGAGCGAAACTGATTGAACACTTTCTAGGTTTTTGACAAGAGACTCTCTTTCGTCATCGTATCTCTTCTCAATACGCGATTTTACTGTGTTTCTACTCGGCACTTTGTACTCTGGCACTACTATCTGCATCAGATTAAGAAATCCTTCACTTTCTACTATACTTAAAGGTATATAGTCCTTTACAATCATGTTTGCTATAGCCTGCGTGATTTTTTCACTTTGCGTTTCAGTTATTTTATTTTTCGTGTTCACAAATATGTCCATTGAGTGTTGTTTTTGTGTGTCAGAGATTTTGTTTTCAGAAGGATGCTTTAAGCGTAAATGATTTAGCATGTTTGTAGTACCACCAGTATACGTCATTTCACAGCTACATAATGTACATTTAACAGTCTTGCTATCAGCACAGCGTTTGAAATATTTCCAGGCATTAGATTTTGCAGGCGGCATTTTGACTCTTATGGAAATTTTAATATCTTATTCTAAGCAAAAACTTTATCAAGATATAAAAAGTTAATGATATTTCTGGATTTATATGCTTAAAGAAGAAAAGGGAGTTACTCTCCTTTATTGAGTAAAGAAAAACAACGTATAATTGCGTCTAATTACAACCTTTAATCTAACATTCATAATAACAATCCGGCCCTTTACTGTTTTCAAAACGGTTACCTTAAAACAAGTTTTGGCTACAAACTGTTACACAATTAAAGGTCATTAAATATCATAAGAGGCCGAATGATGTAAGCGACACAGGTGTTCAATCCCATGCGCGTGTCAAACTGTTGATCACTCGTTATGTTTACGATATAATTTTCGCACCTCTTCAAGGATGTTTTTATTTTATTTTACAGGTATTTATGAAGATACAGGTATATCTCCGAATTTCTGAACTAACTGGACACCAATCTCATTAAATCTAAAATAAATAGAAATTTTATTTTTTTTTCCGAGTAATCGAATATCAGTTTTGTTAACCGATATTCGGACGTTCGATCGAGTACTCGGTTAACCGAGTACTCGTTGCCATCCCTAATTTATTTTCCACAAAATGAGATTTTCTTTTCAATATGTAATGCACTAAAGTATATTTACTTTTTTTCCTGTAAATGTTATTTGTATTATTTATGGCAACAATGAAGAATGGTATGCATCTGTTTCGGTGTGAATGGATATATTATTAAAAGGAAACGAGTCATGAGAGATGAGTGCAAATATAGTACAAAAAGGTACATAGTTACTGACAAAACATTCATTAAATCAAGCTTATCATTGACAAATATACCAAACATTCTTTTACTGAGGAAGCTCATATGGCAGGGATATCTAAAGAACCAACTCTACGATTCTGAAGAATCACTTTAAAATTAGACAAATAACGGCCGGATACTCCATTTGCTAACATCTTACTAGAAAAAGGAGCGTGTAAAATGCGCTCGAAAATTACTGAGAACGTTTCCTTAATCTATTACAGTCGCCGTTTTTTATGTTGTGACTGTTGATGGAAGTTGGTTCCACTTTTTGACGCCATTTGCAAGTGTAAACAACACAATTCTGGCCAACAAAAATATTCGTCGACCATATATTGTCGTTGTGGAAATGAATTAAATTAAACTTTCCTGCGCCGAATCCTTCTAACCGTGACAGATAAGAAACAACTTCCCAATACTTCTATACTAATCTTAAAAGAATTAAAATTGCAGATGCTGAAATGAATTGTTTATGTCTTAATTGCTTTTCATACATTTATAGGTAAGGCAACGGGATATAATTGTAACAACTGTCCTAATACATATTCATGTAGTAACATTCAGGCAGTGATTGTATGAATTGTACTTACACTTAGTGCAAAAACGAGAGGTATCAAAATACTTCAATAGATGTTTTCCTCAACAAATATAAGAATGTAGGGTGACTGTAATGAATTGTTTAAATTTTTAACATTGCCATTAACTTATAGGCAAACCAATGGTATGTGATTGCAACAACGGCGCCGTTAATAATGACATTAAAGCAGTGATTGTAGGAGTTGTACTTGGAATAATCATCGTAATAGTCGTGGCATATGCTGGATATGTTACAATACTACTGAAACGAAGAAATGGAAGCACAGGTGGGGTTCTTTTGTTATTCATTTACAATGAAAAAAAAGATGAATATTTGTTTTAAAAGTTTTCTTTCAAAATCATTGTACAATTTTCTCTTTAGAAAGAAGAAATTATGTTTCACGTTTGTTTTCTTTTAATGTCAAAAATATATGTATTTATCTGTTTTACCCTAATTCTCATTTTTTTTATTTTAGCGGAAAATACCATTATCCAGCCGGCTCAGTAAGTTCTCATGTATCTTTGAAGTTCTCTATATATTAAACAATGAATGTCAGTCAGATTGATGCTATTTGGAGTAATAGAAATCGTAATTTCCTGCCCGTTATAACGTTGTTTATGCCTTCATTTTGTTTCTCAAATTGTATGATATAAATCTTTAACAAAATTCAGATCAGCCTATATACATTGATTAGACAAAAGTACAGCAATGCAAAAATGATTTTAAAAAATCAACCATAAAACAAATATTTAACCAATAATCATACTTGTATAGGAATAAAAAAATGATTTGATATACAGAATAAACATCATTAAGGAAAAAGCGAGTATCCAAATATAAATAAATTGATGTATGGTTGTATTTGTACTACAGACGCACTGTGCCTTTATATACTAATATGATGTTCTCAACAAATGATGGTGATGACCAACAGGGAACAGATCCAGATGTAACCGGAGAGTCTCAATATACGTCACTGAAGACTGAACTAAAAGACGATAGACAAACATATGAGCAATTGAAAGTGTAGCAATTAAATGAGAAAAAAAATCAAAGAAAAAATCATGATTTGGGATAACATACAATCCAAGAAAAACCTACAATTAAATTTTAAAGAAAGGCGTACACATCGACAAGAAAATAGTAAATTGAAAGTAAATTTCTATAGAATGAGACAACGGAACGATTACAGATTTAACACTTGTCGTGCAATCTATTTCCAATGCACTGTTATGTGTATATAAACCACATAAATTAATTCTTAGAAACCATTGAGCAATCTTTTGAAAGTAACAACATAATATAGAAACAATTTTAAATTTTTTAAGATATTATCATCACTTTTTTTTGCTGAGTGGTTAATGTTGTTGAAATCAAACCACTTGCACCTCACCGCTATGATCCGATTCGTTCATATATGGTTTTTATCGTGTCCCACGTGGATAACGAGATAGAGGACAATAAGCAATTCTTTTCGAACAGCCCTCGTATTCATTTATTATGGGTTTGAAGTCACTGAAGTATATGGCCACTTTGTTGTCATTGTTAAAGTTTTATATCACATTAGAACTTGTTTATTATTTAAGTTATACCAATACTGTAAAGGTCATATGACTGTTTCTCAGCTTTATTGGTTGAAAAAGAGCCCATATGTCCTTCTGTACATTATTGTAGTCACAAGCAAACACTAAAAAAATCTACACATAATGATATTCTTTGCACAATACATTGAAGCTGCATGCTTCCAGATGAGCCAAAATATTTTAAGAAAGTAAAACTTGAGAAAAATGTACAAAGATTTTAGAAAAGTAAAGGATCTTACAGTCAAGTAATGAGTTACATGTTATGTGCTATCATGAACTGATTTTGCAGTATTCATCACCATATTTCTACTGTGTTACTTTCACAGATTGGGCTAAATTTGCTTATTTTGACCACATTTTTGGTAATTCAAATGGCTTGCAAGTGCTATATGCAATGTGTAAATTATTTTCTTTGTTCATTTCACAATACATATATTGTTTTTTAAATAAAAAAATGTATTTTTACAATTTTCATGAAAATTAGCATTAATGTAGAGAATTGCTGCTTTAATGTTTGATTTAACTAAACTCTGAATTTTTAAAAGAATCTATTATATACTGAACTATTGTGATAATGGTGATATTAACCATGATGACAGAAAGGAAAACATTGTATAAGATTTAAAATAGTTTCAAACTATTTAAATTTATCAGAAGAATTCATAATACTGGGTTATAAGACTTAGTTTATAAGGATGTTAAAATTGGAAGCTATTGAGCTGGAACAAGTATAGATCTCAATGACCATCAGATGTTTTAATTTATGTATTTGTAACCCTTTTCCCTGATAGATCCAAAAATGAACAGCCTTTGCCACCAGTATAGCGCCAGACCAGCCGGGACATACATGTATGTGTAGTCTGATAAGGTTCTTTACTGTTAGTTGTTTGACTTCAAAATTTCATTTTGATATCACTAAAATTGATAATGAACAGTCCCAAAATGGAAGCTTGACAAATTCATTTATGAAATTCAACAGGGTAAGGGTTAAAGGTGAACAACTCTTTTCCTGCTGCTGTTACCTCTCTTTATATTTGTTATTTACAAGGGAGAAAATTGATTGTTATAATTTTTATATTCAGTCTCTATTAGATTTGTCTTTTTATGTTAAGAATGACATATATGTTATATAAGAAATACTTTCAGTGTGTGCATGTTTGTACTTTTTCCTGTTGCAATAACAGATGTGATTTTTTTCTCACACAGAAATCCATACATTAATATATAATTTTTCCTTTCTATGAGTATTTTTTAGACCAATATTTATATGTTGATTTAACAATCATGAATATGGTATGTGTTTTTTTAAGAGATTTTTGTAGAACTAGAAAAAAATTGTGAAAGAATTTATCTTTCAATTTCATTTTTAGAGTACAATATTTTTTAGGTGTTTAAGAACTAGATTTATAGGTTGATCAACATTATGGTAGATATACATTGTTGCTTAGAAAAGGATTTTACTTGCTCAACCTCAAACTGTAGCGAGCTATTATTGATATTACTATGGTGTAAGCTTTTATGTTTGACAGGGTTTTTTTTCTCTTGGGTAGAGCTGTGAACTTGTATACAGCCGCTTCTGTATTAGGCCTTAATGCTTTTGCTTTCTACTTACTAATATACTGCCTTAAGAAATGCTAGATTAAGGTTTTATCTGCATCTTCATTTGTCATATATCAACATAGGGTATTTACTTAAAACTTCAAACACTCTTCTGGGGCCTTAATTGTATATCACTAACCAAGACCCATACCTGTAGCTTGGGTTGTAACTGACTTGTACACTGAAGAACTAATAGTAATCCTGGTTAAGGTTTTTGCTTTAAAGTTCTATCTCTTGAAGATGTTTCTTTTGTTACTTCCAACAAACTTTAGGATCATAGTTATAGATTCATGTCCCAAAATCATAACTGTACATTGGATTTTTACTGAATTATTACCCATTGTGAACTTGAAAAGTCATTCATTACTATTTTTCACCAAGAAGATTTAAGAATAGTAAAAGGTCATGTTGGTGTGACAGGTTTTGTTTTATTTTCTATATTATGCATTTTTTATTTACATGTACATTTGTATTTCTTTTTCTCACATTTTTGCTATGACATACTGTATTTGTTTGATCTGTGTGACTTACTGAAATATTTCTGCCTATATTAAAGACATCTCTACATTATAATGTATAAATTCTTTGTCTTTAAATTATTTATTTATCTTATGTTGATGATAACTTTTGTTATGTATTTACATTGTATTCTCATGACTATTTTTTTTAAACTGTATGCTTTACTTGAGACAGGTTTGTAAGCTTTTTTAATTTTTAAAATGGTTTTGCTTTTAACTGACCAATAAAATTTTAACATCTTTGTTTTTTAAATAACAAAATAACCAATCAGGTTTCAATACAAAATAAGGTAACATAAAAACATAAAATTTATAACAACTATCATCATTGGTCAGTTAAAAGCAAAACCATTTTTAAAAATATTGTAAAAAAAAAAAATTGAACAGTTAAATTTTGAATTTCCAAGTAATAACATTGTGGCTTTCCACTAAAACTAAGTGTAACTGTTTTTAATGTCAATTTGTTAACGCCAGAATAACCTGTGTATATGTTATAAATTATTTGTGGTATTTCACTAAAAAAACATTAAAATATAAAACGGAACATTGTGTTAAGATTCAATCCACCTATAGAACTATAAAATGTAGCGCATAATACTATACTACGAAACACGTGAAATTGATAAAGCTAAAAGTGTTTGTTGATAATAACAGTTAAGGGGGCAGGGGACATATTCGAATGATGGCCCCGGTCAAATTTTTTAATAACTCAGACATGGTGTTTTGAAGGTACTGATAACTTCTGATATTTCTCTGTCATTGTAATTCTTTTTTGTTTGTGTGTAGGAAATGAGATATATTTTTGGGTTTTTACCCGAAACTAAGCATTTTGGTAGCTTTGTATGTATTTCTGACTCTCCGAATGGAGGTGAAAAAGTTAAAAATCAAGCTTTGACAGTTGGCGCCAAACAAGTAAGAAATTTCAGATAAATTTTGTGAAAAATCTAAACGTATGACAGACACTTTATTTGTCATTTCTGAAAATGCCATAGCTTGCACTGCGTGTTACTGATATTTTTATAGGAATCGGGCGGATTCTGGAGTATGCTGCACCTTCATGAAGATTGCCCATATTGGTATATTTTAGGTGTGATTTTGGCTGGGTGGGGGTAAATATAAATTGCTGTCAGTCATTTTTTGAAGTAGCAATGCATGCAAACTATTATTTTCTTCAATGTATGTCAAATATCATTGAATAATGTTGTGCAACTGGTTATCTGCCTGTGAAACAGATTTTGAAATATTTGGAATTGTGTTTCTGGTCACACTGAAATACAAAAATTTTCATTTTTAGGTCCCCTGCCCCCTAACAAGTAGAGAAACTGATAGCGAACAGCATGGATCCTGATCAGACTGCGCGGATGCAAATGCATTACGTTGGTTTTGTCATGCCGCGGCTCAAATACTTCTAAACAACAACAACAATCACTATAGGTTTAGGTCGTTGTATTTTACAGAATTATAACATTTCAAGAACAAGCATTATCTAGTCTATTGCAAGAAACATCTGCTGGAATGAGGGCTGTCTCGAATTTCGGCGGAGTCCTGATGAAATCAACTGAAAATATCTGAAAACGAAGAAAGAACTGTGTAAAAATAAAACAGGACATAAAGAGGGTGGATGGGACGGGAAAATGTATGCTTTCTTCTGTCATTTTAACATTCTGTCAAATACAAGTCTCGAGTGAAGACACATATACACCCTAATATACCGTACACATACGTAAAAATCGTTCAAAACTATAAAAGAATGTGCAACAGAGTAAATCGAATTAACGATAAATCATTTGCTATAGATAAAGAAAGATACCCAAAAATACGTATTGTTAGCAACGAAACAATTTCAGGTAATTTTGAGCTCGTTTCCTAATTTCAGCATCTTCGGTACCGTTAAAAAAGGTGATTTTTTATTGTTGTTGTTCAAAATATCACAAGTTAAAAACAAATGAAGGGATTTCGGTAATACACAAAGACAACCATCACCAACAATTCAAATATCAACCCAATTTGTCTATTCTTGAAAATGTTTCAGGTGCCCAAACTAGCCAGGTCGAAGACACATTTGCTGCAAACGTAATTTTGAGCGACGATGATGTCAAACTCCTCACAGCGGTTACGTCACGCTTTGCTACTTCTAATCCTGCTGTAAGGGGAGATGACTGCGTAGGAGATTGCGATGATGTAACAAACCGTTGTCTATTTTTACAATGCACGATTTTCTCGCATCATTATACACGAGAAAATCGTGCGCAGGCAGCAGGCGTAAAAGTAATAAAACTTCTGTTAAAGGTACATTAAGCCTCAGAAATAAATACGATTATTTGTTTACATGTTTTAATTATTAATTAATTCAGAGCATTTTAGATGTTTAATGCAATAACATGTTGAAAACCATGTTGAATGTTAACTATTTTGTCATAACATAGCCAAACGTACGCAAGTCAGTGACAACGTAAACTACAAAAAAACTAAATTACTGTAATTTGACTAATGGCTAAACAGCAGAAGGATGAGTTCAACTATATGGCCAGTGAATGAGTTCGGAAATTTGAACTGAACTCAAATTTAGCTTTCAAGAATTAAAATTATAGAATTTTATGGGTTTAATGGGTATTGAACATTACAATCACCTATTATTTTTGGCTTATAGTCCATCAATTTTGTACACAAATTAATGCCGTTGTTGTTGTTGTTGTTTTTCTAAAAGGACGAATCGCTATCCATTACAATATTTTGTTATAATGACTTAAAAAGCCATGTCGGATGAAAATCCAAAATCATTTTACCATAAAATCGTTCAATCCATTACATGAACGGTTGGTATTAAACAAGTCTTCCAAAATCCCAGGTAATTAACATATAAATAATGACCAATGAGCAAGTTTTGCTGGACTTAGATATAGAATAACAAAATCGCCTTTTTATATCGTAATCGCCTTTTCGTGTTGTCGCTAGCGACAACACGATAAAGCGCCAAACGGTCGCGCAGTCGTCTTGTCGTCCTGCCTCTAGCGAAGCACGCCAAACAGCGCGTTGTCGTGCTGCGCGGTGTCGCGATGTCGCCCTGTTGCTTGGCTTAAAGGTCAATCCTTCGATTTGAACCGAGCGACAATGTGACATCGCGACAACACGCCCCGTTTGGCGTACATCGTTAGTGACTGGGCGACAAGACGAAAGTCTGACAACGTGCCGTTTGGCGCTTTGTCCTGTTGTCGCTAGCGCCAACACGACGCACAAAAGCGTTCCAAATCAGCCACCATAGTTTTACCCCTGGTAGGATAAAAACACACACAGACCGACAGCGATATATATTTTAAACGGGCTGTTATGTAATCCGTGAATAAATCTGATAAAACATGTATATGATGAAGTAAGCTCGAGTTTTCACATTGTTGGAGAGAAAATCTCGAGAAGTTTTCTCTCCATACATATAACCCCACTCGTTTTCTAAAAATGAACATTCGTGTTTGATTTTTTATTGGGGGATGGGGAAAGGCGGTCGCAGATAGGGTAACCGCATTTCCGCTGTAACTACATGTATCATCCATTCGTAGATTGCTACAAAACAATGTTAAGTCGCCTTGCACGAAATTCACGTTCTGAAAAACTTTTTTTTTGTGTTTCTTGGAATAACTTAACATACAGTATTTTTGTATGGAAGTCAAACTACTGCTTTGTTTACATTTTGCTACTTTAATGACAAATGATTCAACATTCAGCGCTACTTTCGTCAGTCGTGTAATAATCATCAGACATGCTGTATTAAAACATGTATGCCCTTCTAAATAAGGCAATAAATGAGCCGCGTCATGACAAAATCCGCGCAGTCTGATCAGGATCCATGCTGTTCGCAATTAGTTTCTGTACTTGTAATAGGGTTGGTAAGAGAACAGCATGGATCCTGATCAGACTGCGCGGATGCGCAGGCTGGTCTTGATCCATGCTGGTCGCAAACCCATTATGTTGGTTTTGTCATGATGCGGCTCAAATATTCGTTTCTGAGTCATAATGTGTCTTTAAGAAAATACTGGGTTGTGTAAAAAAAATTTGACAATTCGGCCGTTTTGTCCGGGAATCATGAAATTGTGCCGTTTGCACGGAAATCACGGAATTTCGCTTTACGTTTTTAAATAGAATGTGTGTATTTTGTGTGTATTTTGTGGGGAAAGTATTTCCCTGTATAATGCACGGATTTAATGAACTCCATGAAGCGCGCACAATAATTTGGGTTTTCATTTCAACACGCAAACAAAATAACGGATTAAACTTGAAAAATCTGACTGGATTTGGACAACTGATGCACGCAAGTTACCAATTTTGTTATTTTATCTGTAATGACCATTTTATTTTAAGGAATGTATTTAATATGTCACATGTAAAGTCTTGTTTGCTTCTTTCAGTGTAGTCCTAATTATAAGACCTATACGTAACCTATTTCATATTTATCATTCATTAATCTGATATTTTACATTTTTCATTTTCCATGTTACGTTAGGTCTTAACAGATCTTTGCAAAATCGTGTAGCAAAAAAAATGACATTAGACATCGATTTAGATCTAATGAATTTAAACAATTAAAACAGCCTGTATTTACATTAATTTTGACCTATTTATAAACAAAACTAAAAAATAAATACCTTTTAACAAAATAATTTAACTGTCACATCCGAAAAGTCATGATTAAATCCTCTCATTTAATTAAATTCCTTGTACAGCCGATATACAAATGGCCGCCATAAAGTGCGAGAAATCTGATTGGCTAATACAAATGCAAGCGTTTAAATGAGTCCAGAAGTTTCTAACGGAATATTTTTTTAACGAAATAATTGCCCATGCACCGTCAGTGTGTTCGAATATATTTTTCCGTTCAAAAAATTGGAATCAATCTGTAAAACGCTTTACTTAACCAGTATGGCCGATGAGCGAAATAGACTGATATTTCTATTTTATTTTTAATTGGTAAGTACATTGTTTGAAAGTTTTTGTTAATGATAGACCATGCAATTGAAAGAACAGAAGAAAAGCTTTTGAATAAAGCTTGAAAGGCAAGCCAACAGACATTTTTTTAATTTTTCAAAATGCTACGCGTTTATGAGCAATAACTATTAGACGTCAGGCTTGACCAACATAAAACTATAACAAGCCTGTAACGTCTAATCTATTGGACTACTTTCAGTGTAATAACGGAAGAAATCATTGTCAAATCACTACATATAATCACGGATCTTAATTGTAATATATATCCGTGATATACTTGGTCGCGATAGTGTATATATGTAATCTTTTGTGTTGCGGCCGGATAATATACGAAGGGGGTGGGATGGTTTGATCAATTATTTTTTAAATGTTATATGTGATTTTGTCAGGCTAACACATCGTAACTTTACACGCGCGGTTTTTACCTTACGTGGATGTTTGCTGATATTTGATTATGAATTGTCTCCCACCTTTGTAAACAAAAAATGTGTTTCTTGTTTTTTTGTGTATTCCACTAAAATGTAAACATGTGATTAGGTATTTAAGTTATTATATGAAGGGGGTGGGATGGTTTGATCAATTATTTTTTAAATGTTATATGCGATTTTGGTCAGGCTAACACATCGTAACTTTACACGCGCGATTTTTACCTTACGTGGATGTTTGCTAATATTTGATTATGAATTGTCTCCAACCTATGTACACTAAAAATATGTTTCTTGTTTATTTTGTGTATTCTGCTAAAATGTAAAAAGTGATTTTGGTCAGGTCAACGCGTCGATTTTCAAGTTGTCTCCCACCTATGTAAACTAAAAATGTGTTTCTTGTTTATTTTGTGTATTCCACTAAAATGTAAACATGTGATAAGGTATTTTAATTATTAAACGAAGGGGGTGGGATGGTTTGATCAATTATTGTTTAAATGTTAAAAGCGATTTTGGTCAGGCTTACGCATCGTAACTTACGCGTCCTCTAAAATGTTAAAATATGTTGCGTTATTTTACGCGTTATTTTATGTAACTATACACGCGCGATTTTTACTGAATGCGGCGGTGTTTTGCTTAAAAAACATACTTTAAATTATCTTGGCCATAAAGTGTCCTATAATATTTGGTATCTATTGTTTAATTGTTGATATTTCACACATAAATTTTGGGTTTCTTGTTCTTTTGTTTGACTTCTGTTAAAATGTTATTATATCCATGAATATTTGATGTAATGTATTATACTTTATAATACTCGGGTATTTGGAAATAAAGATGGCAGTTGTTTCTTTTGGAGTGGCATGATCAACGGAGCATTGGGTACAATTCATATTGTGTATATGACATTGTCAGTCTGAGTTCAGGTACTTTCTTTCATTGAATATTTCAATTAGTAATTGATATTATTTTAAAGTTGTTTTTTTTAACAGATAAGTAATAATTTTAGTAAGACACATAGTTGATAAGAGTTGTCCAGCAAAGCTAGTGGTTGTACTCGGATACCGGCCCTTGCCTGTAACAATGCTCTCAGAAGTCTATCTTCATCTACCATGAAATCTGGAATGTCGCCATGTGGCTTAAAACACAACAAATTAATAGTTATATGTTGAATAGATAAATAGTTTATTATGATGTAGTAATTTTTTTTTATAAATATATAATATATTTTGAGGTTTTGTCACCCATCCTTGTCTGTAACATTGCACTAGAGGAACTCGTTGACCAATACAGATGGAGGGTCACCATATGACTAAACGAATTACTTGACAGACAATGTGGAAGTTGATCAAGACTGGTATCGATTCTTCGAGAGTTCCGGTGCTGATATACTCGCAAGAGGCAGCCGTGTTTGGGGTAGCTTTCTGCAGATTTGTAAGACAGTGTGGAGTGAGATGGACACGGTGTATTGTTAGGTAAAACTTGCCCTTTGATGTCACGGGTAGTTCTCGTTAAAGGTAATAAGTCATGTAGCTGTTCATAAAGACGGTTAGAAATTCCTGTAAAATCAAATATGTCGTGATGATAACTGCTTTTTCCATTTTGTATAATGGACTAGAAATTTGATTTAAATGAGGAAATTCCCCAAAAGCTTTTTTAATTCAACTTTTTTTGAGTTTGATTTTGGCAAACTTTTTGACATTTTGGGGGTTTTACTTAAATCCCTACTCTTTGTTTAGGGGACTTTTTGCATTTTTTAACGGCAATTTTTAATTTGAAAAATTTAAAGGCCTTAAATTTTTGCCATTGATTTAAGAAAAAATTAAAGAAAATTTTGGGAAAAATATTAAAATCCAAAAAGTTTTTTTTAATAGTAAAAAAAATTCCATTTTTTCCCTAGGGGGAACTGCTGTTCTCTAACCCATTGACTTTCTTTAAAAACCCTTAAAAATAAAATGCAAAATTGGTGCCAAAAACTTTGGGTATGGGGGTTTAATGTGGGAATAAAAAAGGTGTGAAATTGGGAAATTTGTTTTGGGGAAACCCTTGCATGAGGGAGCTTTAGTAAATTGTGTATTATGTAAATGGAATTGTAATTCTGGAGACAGGCCAGCATGCAGGGAGAAATAAAGTATTTTTTATTGAATATGTCAATAAGTAAAAATATATTTTAAAAGGTTATTGAATAATTAAGTAATAATATCAATAAGGTATATTTTACAGACGATAGGATGTGTCAAATAGATGTTGTCTAGTTAGCTAGCAGATAGAAGTTTAATGGTTCTACTCTGGTGCAACCCCTTGCCTGAAACATTGCACTTAGACGCACATCTTCATGTACCAGAAGTGCTGGAGTGTCGCCATATGACTTATTAACCAACAAATCAATTGTAATATGTTAAGTTTAAAAAATTTGTTTCGATAAAGTAAATATTTACATTTTGAGATAATTGTCACCGGCCCTTTCCCATAACATGCATTACACTTAGGGACACATCTGCAAATACAGCTGGAGAGTTTCCATATGGCATTAGAGCTGTGACTACTGGAGCATTGAAGGACTTGGCAGACACTGTGAAAGTTGATCAAGACTGGTATCGATTCTTCGAGAGTTCCGGTGCTGATATACTCGCAAGAAGCAGTCGTGTTTGGGGCAGCTTTCTACACCTCTGTGCCGGCAGATTTGTAAGATTGGAAGTTGTTTCAGTGTGGAGTGAGATAGACACGGTGTATTGTTAGGTAAAACTTGCCCTTTGATGTCACGGGTAGTTCTCATTAAAGGTAATGAGACATGTAGATGTTCATAAAAGATGGTTCGAAATTCCTGTAAAATCAAATAAATATGTCGTTATAATCACCGCTATTTCCATTTTGAATAATGTGCTAGAATTTTGTTTGGACGAGGAAATTCCCATAGCTTTATTAATTGTAGTTTGACTTGCAAGCTACTTTAAGACAGTTTAGTGGTTTTACTTAAATACCTACTCGTGTTAGAGACAATGCATATAACGGCAATTTTTCATTGACCAATTAAGCTTAAATATTGCCATATGACTTGAGAAGAAATAAAGATAATTTGTAACTAGTTAAATTCTTAAAAGGTTTGTTTATAATAAATATTCACATTTTGCTATTTGACTGTTGTTCTGCTAACCCTAGTGACCTTTCAGTAAACCCTTGAAAATGAATGCTAGATTGGTGTCGAACGTTGTGATGGTGGATAATGTCGGAATGCGGATGGTTGTGTAACATTGGTGAACAGTTTGTGTTGGGAAGTTGCATGATGGAGCATTGGTAATTGTGTATTATGTAAATGGAATTGTAATTCTGGAGACAGGCCAGCATGCAGGGGGAAATAAAGTATTTTTTATTGAATATTTCAATAAGTAAAAATATATTTGAAATGGTTATTGAATAATTAAGTAATAATATCAATAAGGTATATTTTACAGACGATAGGATGTGTCAAATAGATGTTGTCTAGTTAGCTAGCAGATGGAAGTTTAATGGTTCTACTCTGGTGCAACCCCTTGCCTGAAACATTGCACTAAGACGCACCTCTCCATGTACCAAAAGTGCTCGAGTGTCGCCATATGACTTATTAACCAACAAATAAATTGTAATATGTTAAGTTTAAAAATTTGTTTCGATAAAGTAAATATTTACATTTTGAGACAATTGTCACCGGCCCATGTCCATAACAAACCGCCTCCGTGGTCGAGGGGTTACAGTCGATGACTTCTAATCCAGGTACAACCTCTCTGGCGTGGGTTCGATCCCCGGGAGATGCTTTGGTAGTTTAACACGGAGAAAGGTATTCTTGTACTGGTGTAACTCTCCAGGATCGATGGTTAGGAAACTACCCGTCTATATGACTGAAATACTGTTGGGAAAAGGCGTAAAATGAAACAAAGAAACAAAGAAACAAAATGTCCATAACATGCATTATACTTAGGGACACATCTGCAAATACAGCTGGAGAGTTTCCATATGGCATTAGAGCTGTGACTACTGGAGCAATGAAGGACTTGGCAGACACTGTGAAAGTTGATCAAGACTGGTATCGATTCTTCGAGAGTTCCGGTGCTGATATACTCGCAAGAAGCAGTCGTGTTTGGGGCAGCTTTCTACACCTCTGTGCCGGCAGATTTGTAAGATTGGAAGTTGTTTCAGTGTGGAGTGAGATAGACACGGTGTATTGTTAGGTAAAACTTGCCCTTTGATGTCACGGGTAGTTCTCATTAAAGGTAATGAGACATGTAGATGTTCATAAAAGATGGTTCGAAATTCCTGTAAAATCAAATAAATATGTCGTTATAATCACGGCTATTTCCATTTTGTATAATGTGCTAGAATTTTACTTGGACGAGGAAATTGCCATAGCTTTACTAATTGTAGTTTGACTTGCAAGCTACTTTAAGACAGTTTGGTGGTTACACATAAATACCTACTCTTGTTAGAGACAATGCATATAACGGCAATTTTTCATTGACCAATTAAGCTTAAATATTGCCATATGACTTAAGAAGAAATATTGATAATTTGTAACTAGTTAATTCTAAAAAGGTTTGTTTCTAGTAAATATTCACATTTTGCTATTTGACTGTTGTTCTGCTAAACCTAGTGACCTTTCAGGAAACCCTTGAAAATGAATGCAAGATTGGTGACCAACGTTGTGATGGTGGATAATGTCGGAATGCGGATGGTTGTGTAACATTGGTGAACAGTTTGTGTTGGGAAGTTGCAGGATGGAGCATTGGTAAATTGTGTATTATGTAAATGGAAATGTAATTAGTTAAATTCTAAAAAGGTTTGTTTATAGTAAATATTCACATTTTGTAAATATATTATTATTATATTATGTAAATGGAATTGTTATTCTAGAGACAGGCCAGCATGCAGGGAGAAATAAAGTATTTTTTATTGAATAATTCAATAAGTAAAAATATATTTGAAAAGGTTATTGAATAATTAATAATAATACCAATAAGGTATATTTTACAGACGATAGGATTTGTCAAATAGATGTTGTCTAGTTAGCTAGCAGATGGAAGTTTAATGGTTCTACTCTGATGCAAATAGGATTTGTCAAATAGATGTTGTCTAGTTTAATGGTTCTACTCTGATGCAACCCCTTGCCTGAAACATTGCACTTAGACGCACATCTTCATGTACCAAAAGTGCTGGAGTGTCGCCATATGACTTATAAACCAACAAATAAATTGTAATATGTTAAGTTTAAAAAATTTGTTTCGATAAAGTAAATATTTACATTTTGAGTAATAATTGTCTCCGGCCCCTTGTCCATAACACATGCATTACAATTAGGGAACTACATTCTGCAAATACAGGCTGGAGAAAGTTTTCCATAATTTGGCAATTAAGCTGTGACACTGGAGCAATGAAAGACTTGGCAGACACTGTTTGAAAGTTGATCAAAGACTGGGTACGGATTCTTCGAGACGTACCGGTGCTGATTATACTCGCAAAAGCAGTCGGTGTTTGGGGGCAGCTTTCTACACTCTGGCCGGCAGATTTGTAAGATTGGAAGTTGTTTCAGTGTGGAGAGAAGATACGACACGGTGTATTGTTAGGTAAAAACTTGCCCCTTTGATGTCACGGGTAGTTCCTCAATTAAAGGTAATGAAAAGACATGTTAGATGTTCATGAAAAAAGGGTTAGAAATTCCTGTAAAATCGAATAAATATGTCTTATAAATCACGACTATTTCCATATTTGTATAAATGTGCTAGAATTTTACTTGGACGAGGAAATTCCCATAGCTTTAGTAATTGTAGTTTGGCTTGCAAGCTACTTTAAGACAGTTTTGTGGTTATACTTAAATACATACTCTTGTTAGAGACAATGCATATAACGGCAATTTTTCATTGATTAATTAAGCTTAAATATTGCCATATGACTTAAGAAGAAATAAAGATAATTTGTAACTAATTAAATTCTAAAAAGGTTTGTTTATAGTAAATATTCATATTTTGCTATTTGACTGTTGTTCTGTTAACCCTAGTGACCTTTCAGTAAACCCTTGAAAATGAATGCAAGATTGGTGACCAACGTTGTGATGGTGGATAATGTCGGAATACGGATGGTTGTGTAACATTGGTGAAAAGTTTGTGTTGGGAAGTTGCATGATGGAGCATTGGTAAATTGTGTATTATGTAAATGGAATTGTAATTCTGGAGACAGGCCAGCATGCAGGGAGAAATAAAGTATTTTTTATTGAATATGTCAATAAGTAAAAAGATATTTGAAAAGGTTATTGAATAATTAATAATAATACCAATAATGTATATTTTACAGACGATAGGATTTGTCAAATAGATGTTGTCTAGTTAGCTAGCAGATGGAAGTGTAATGGTTCTACTCTGGTGCAACCCGTTGCCTGAAACATTGCACTAAGACGCACATCTTCATGTACCAAAAGTGCTGGAGTGTCGCCATATGACTTATTAACTTACAAATAAATTGTAATATGTTAAGTTTAAAAAATTGTTTCGATAAAGAAAATATTTACATTTTGAGATAATTGTCACCGGCCCTTGTCCATAACATGCATTACAATTAGGGACACATCTGCAAATACAGCTGGAGAGTTTCCATATGGCATTAGAGCTGTGACTACTGGAGCAATGAAAGACTTGGCAGACACTGTGATAGTTGATCAAGACTGGTATCGATTCTTCGAGAGTTCCGGTGCTGATATACTCACAAGAAGCAGTCGTGTTTGGGGCAGCTTTCTACACCTCTGTGCCGGCAGATTTGTAAGATTGGAAGTTGTTTCAGTGTGGAGAGAGATAGACACGGTTTATTATTAAGTAAAACTTGCGCTTTGATGTCACGGGTAGTTCTCATTAAAGGTAATGAGACATGTAGATGTTCATAAAAGATGGTTAGAAATTCCTGTAAAATCAAATAAATATGTCGTTATAATCACCGCTATTTCCATTTTGTATAATGTGCTAGAATTTTACTTGGACGAGGAAATTCCCATAGCTTTATTAATTGTAGTTTGACTTGCAAGCTACTTTAAGACAGTTTGGTGGTTAAACTTAAATACCTACTCTTGTTAGAGACAATGCATATAACGGCAATTTTTCATTGACCAATTAAGCTTAAATATTGCCATATGACTTAAGAAGAAATAAAGATAATTTGTAACTAGTTAAATTCTAAAAAGGTTTGTTTATTGTAAATATTCACATTTTGCTATTTGACTGTTGTTCTGCTAACCCTAGTGACCTTTCAGTAAACCCTTGTAAATGAATGCTACATTGGTGACCAACGTTGTGATGGTGGATAATGTCGGAATGCGGATGGTTGTGTAACATCGGTGAAAAGTTTGTGTTGAGAAGTTGCATGATGGAGCATTCATTTGGTAAATTGTGTATTATGTAAATGGAATTGTAATTAGTTAAATTCTAAAACGGTTTGTTTATAGTAAATATTCACATTTTGTAAATATATTATTATTATATTATGTAAATGGAATTGTTATTCTGGAGAAATAAGGTTTTTTTTTATTTTATTGAATATTTCGATAAGTAAAATTATATTTGAAAGGGTTATTCAATAAATAAGTAATAATTTCAATAAGGTATATTTTACAGACGATAGGATTTGTCAAATAGATGTTGTCTAGTTAGCTAGCAGATGGAAGTTTAATGGTTCTACTCTGGTCTGAAACATTTCACTTAGACGCACATCGTCATGTATCAAAAGAGCTGGAGTGTCGCCATATGACTTATAAACCAACAAATTAATTGTAATATGTTAAGTTTAAAAAATTTGTTTAGATAAAGTAAATATTTCCATTTTGAGATAATTGTCACCGTCCCTTTTTTTATTATTGCACTTAGAGACACATCTGCAAATACAGCTGGAGAGTTGCCATGTGGCATAACAGCTGTTCCTACTGAAGCAATAAAGGACTTGGCAGACAGTTTGAAAGATGATGAAGACTGGTATCGATTTTTCGAGAGTCCTGGTCTGTTGGACTATTTTCCGTTCCGATGTCCTGGCCATGCAGTTCACTCTGCATTTTTACTGCAAATGTCAACATATTGTATTTTTCTTGTCGTTATAATCTGTTGTCTAATATTTGTTAAACTTTGTATTTCCAATGCTATTAACATGTATATTTAAATTATAATTTCTCCCACATATACTGTATGAACCTTTTATTTCTAATTTGTTGTTATCCAATAGTCAAATATGTGTCATAATAATTACATTTGCGATGTCTTGGCCAAGCGGGTCGTCGGTTATTTTCCGCCAAAATGTAAACATATTTTACTTGGGTTGTTGTCTAATATTTGTTTAGAAAAAAGTATTTCCACTGTTAATCACATGAATATGATAATAACAATTACTTCCATCCAAAGATTACTGTATGGTCCTTTTAATTCTATTACAAGTCTGGTTTCATATTGTCCAACCTGTGTCATAATATCTTCCGTAGCGACGCGTTGTCGTCGGTTATTTTTCACTAAAATGTAAACGTATGGTTCTTGTATCGTAAATTTTCCGTTGCGATGTCCTCGCTACGTGTTGTCGGTTATTTTTCGCTAAAACGTAAACTTCTTATTAAAATTATTACCATCAAAAAAAGTTATTTGTGTCCCCTATTTTTATTTTGCTGTTTTCCACTTGTCAAATATATGTCATAATAATTTCATTTGCGATGTCCTGGCCACGCGAGTTGTCGGTTATTTTCGCTAAACTGTAAACATATCTTTTTTAATTAAAATCTGCTGTGTAATATCGTTTAAAAATATTTCCAGTGTAACTAACATGTATATTGAATTACAATTACTTCCATCCAAAAAATACTGTATGGTTTCTTTAATTCTATTACAATTCTGGTTTCAAATTGTCCAACCTGTGTCATAATATTTTCCGTTGCGATGTCCTGGCTACGCGTTGTCGTCGGTTATTTTTCACTAAAATGTAAACATATGGTACCTGTATTGTAAATTTTCCGTTGCGATGTCCTGGCTACGTGTTGTCGGTTATTTTTTGCTAAAATGTAAACTTCTACTAATCAAAATTACTACCAACAAAAAAAGTTCTTTGTGTCCCCTATTTTTATTTTGCTGTTTTCCACTTGTCAAATATATGTCATAATAATTTCAGTTGCGATGTCCTGGCCACGCGGGTTGTCGGTTGTTTTCGCTAAACTGTAAACATATTGTGTTGTAATTAAAATCTGTTGTGTAATATCGTTAAAAAATATTTTCAGTGTTACTAACATGTATATTGAATTACAATTACTTCCATTTAAAAAGAAAATACTGTATGGTTCCTTTAATTCTATTGCAATTCTGGTTTCAAATTGTCCAACATGTGTCATAATATTTTCTGTTGCGATGTCCTGGCTACAAGTTGTCATCGATTATTTTTCGCTAAATTGTAAACATGTGTTTAAATTAAAATCTGTCAAATATATGTCATAATAATTTCAGTTGCCATGTCCTGGCCACATGGGCTGTCGGTTATTTTTCGCTAAACTGTAAACATGTTGCAATTAAAATCTGTTAAATATATATACAGTCAACTATCGTTATCTCGACATCGCTTTTCTCGATATTTCGTTATCTCGATGAAATTTTGAAAGTCCCGATTTTCTTCCTTCTTTATCTATATTGGAAATATTTGTTTATCTCGATATTTTTATTTCGATATTTTCAGTATCTCGATGTAAAATTTCAGCCCCAACAGTTATTTTCACACTATTATCCTTTGTTTATCTCGACTTATAGTTTTCTTTCATCTGTTTCCTTCAGACGTGTGAAAAACACAATCTAGACGATAATTGCTCAATTAATAGCGCGTGTCATAATGACAATTATGTTTGTAACAAGTTTAGCTGTTTTTATAAAAGTTAATCTATTTAGCGTGTTGATTGACTTATGTCCAAAATGACTGAATTTTACATTCTTTTTAAATATTCGAACACTGTATCAATTCATTATGACTTTAAATGTAAATGAAATAGTGAAAGTATAGAAACGCTATCGTTGAAATATTGTTTCACAACATCACCACCAAATCAATCAGCGGTCGAACAATCTCGAGAAAGACCCGATAAATAATCCGGGAGGATATCCGAATCAACCATATCCGATATCCGATTCACTATATTGGTGTATTACTGAGTAAACCTCACTATGTGTTTTTATCACAGACACCCGTATTTCGCTGGTAAACATCCGCTAATGTTACTTTGTCAAAATATTGACTAGGCCTATGAAACAAGACATACGGATATTTATAGTTTATTTGACATAAAGTATGCGCATGTCTTCTGTAAAAATCTGTTTCGCTTTGTTCTAACCCTAATATGTTTATCTCGACATTTCGTTATCTCGATATTTTTTGGACGGTCCCAGTGACTTCGAGATAACGAGAGTTGACTGTATATCATAATAATTTCAGTTGCAATGTCCTGGCCACACGGTCCGTCGGGTTATTTTTCGTTTTTTGCTAAAATGTACTTTCGTTGTAATTAAAAGCTGTTGTCTAATATATTTCAAATTTATCCCATCCAAATGAAATATTATTAGTGCCCTGTATTTCTTTTAATATTGTGGTCTTCAAAAATGTGTCAAAATATTTCCCAATCAGATGTTCTGACCATGCAGGTTGTCATGCTATTTTTGCTTTAAATGTAAAAATGTATGAGTATTGTCTAATTTTGTTAAATTGTAATACAAATGTTATAATCTCATGACCTCTATGTTTGTCTTAATAAAATTATTATGCCTCCACAATGTGGGAGCATATAGCGGTGCACTTGTCCGTCCGTCAGTCCGTCAGTCCGTCCGTACGTCCCGAAATCTTGTGAACGCAACTCCTCTTAAACGGGATGGCAGATTTTGCTTAAACTTACAGGGATGAACAACCTTAATGTGTAGATGGCAGTAAAGGAAGGAATTTTTGCTGCGACCAAATTTAAAAGAATTATGGCCCTTTGTTGATTTTTTCACTAGATACTATGTAGAAATTTTGTGAACGCAACTCCTCTTAAACCGGATGGCAGATTTTGCTTAAACTTACAGGGATGAACAACCTTAATGTGTAGATGGTAGTAAAGGAAGGAATTTTTGCTGCGACCAAATTTAACAGAATTATGGCCCTTTGTTGATTTTTTCACTATATACTATGTAGAAATTTTGTGAACGCAACTCCTCTTAAACCGGATGGCAGATTTTGCTTAAACTTACAGGGATAAACAACCTAAAGGTGTAGATGGTAGTAAAGAAAGGAATTTTTGCTGCAACCAAATTTTACAGAATTATGGCCCTTTGTTGATTTTTTCACTATATACTATGTAGAAATTTTGTGAACGCAACTCCTCTTAAACCGGATGGCAGATTTTGCTTAAACTTCCAGGGATGAACAACCTTAATGTGTAGATGGTAGTAAAGGAAGGAATTTTTGCTGCGACCAAATTTAACAGAATTATGGCCCTTTGTTGATATTTAGATTTCAACTTGTGGCACATGTAGTCCAAAAAATATTTGACCTAGAGTCATAAGATTGACAGAACAGTGGTGTGTGGGGGCATCCGTGTCCTATGGACACATTTCTAGTTTTCTTATGTTTTTAGTTTGCCAATTGTCTCCTATAAATATTTCCTTTAGATGATATGTTGTAAGATTTAAAGACAGTTTAAAGAGTTTAAAGAATATTTTGATATAGACATTATGTAAATGTTGGTCTTTATAACCATATACTCTTTCGACTGATTAGCCTGCAATGTTATGAAATGTATTGAGATATGAGAATGCAGATGGTTGGATTCATCGCCATAAGGTTGCTTGCTAGTAGTGGCATATGTCAAAAGAAGATGGTTTTGGTTCAAAGAACAGATTTCATTACTGATGGAGGTAAAAGTTTGAACGAAATTTTACTTGCAATAAACGATAATGCTATTAAAATATAATGAGACTGGAGTATAGTTTTCTATAATTCCCAATCAAGTCTTTTTCAGTTCTAAATCATAATTCAAAAAAGTATTTTGTCATAAATTGTTTAATGTCTAAGAGTTGGAGATAATTAGTTTTTGGACTTTGCTTTTTTATTTTTCAGCTTCTATGATATTCAAGGACTTGGCAGACACCGTGGAAGTTGATCAAGACTGGTTACGATTCTTTCGAGAGGACCGGTACATGTTTTCTCGCAAGATGGTTTCGTGTTCTGGGCAGCTTTCTACACCTTTGTACCGGCAGATTTGTAAAATAGAGAAAAACAGAATCCCTAAAGAAATTCCAACAAAACAAAATTGTAAATGTTGCAGGCTCGGTTTTAATGAGCCTGTTCATGGACGGTAATGGAAAGTGCAAATTACCTTGCACGCCCCCTAGCACCGGCTCAAGCAGAATTCAACATTTAACACAAAAATGGTGAATTTTGAAGACTGGATATTGTTTCATTGTTGAGAGAGATGGATATGGTGTATTGTTAGAAAATATTTCAACTTTATTCTTCCAGGTATTACATGCAGTTCAAATCAAGGAAATGATTCATGAAAATATTTAAAGTGAATTGGTCGGAAATAATAGGACTATGGTAAACAATTTTTTAATTACTTCAAGATTACCTATATTAACCTTTGTCAAAACTTGTAAAATCTAATATTTTTTCAGAAATAAAGATTTATTCTCTTTTATGTTCAATGCCTATATATTTATTAAACCTTTTTTTTCAAATAAGGAGCTGGAGATGTGACTTGGTTACAGAAACAAATTAGTAACTTTATGTTGACAGCAGGAAAAAACAACAGCCTGCATACTCGTATGTTTGACTTTTTGTGTTGAATTCTCATAAAATATAAAAAAATAAAACCCCAAACAAATCTGACAATTGTAATTTGATTAAAAAGAATTTTTGACAGAAATTATCGGTAATATGAATTAATATAAGGTTTAGAATAGATTGAAAAAAAAAATCAAATTAATTAATTCATTTATGGGATAATCAAGCTCAGAGGGCTAAATCATTTTGTTTCTTGTAAGAAATGGTTATTAAAGCTGTGCACATAACAATCTGGTATGCTATATTAACACTTTGTAAGACCATTTTAGCTAAAAAAGGTAACTATTTGTAGATTTGAGCATGGGCAAGGAATGGGATATGATGTGTCAGTAAAGATTACCTGAGATTGAATAGGTAAGTTTATATAATATTATAATATTTTATTCTTCAGCAATATCAATTCTGTGGTAAAGTTTATTGCGTCTTAAATACTTGATAAAAGATCATTTCATGTACACTATGCATGAATACAGATAAATAAAGCAAAATAAATATGTATTTTCAACTCGTTTTTATTAAAAAGATCTTTTATGAAGAATGAAAAAAAAGTAAATTATTCTTTGTCTAACAGTTGACATATCAATTTTTTCTTTAATATATCCATTTTTTTCTAAGCATAATCAAAGTACTTTAAAGTATTATTGGTTAACCGTTTGGAAGTTAACATGAAACTAACACTGTTGTGACGATTATTGTATTATACCCCCATCAGACACTTCGAAACTGGCATTTAAGAAATTTAAAGGCCCATTAAGCATCCTTTCTATTTTTTTAAAAGTTTTTATTTTTTTAGTTTCAAAAAGTTACTCATTGGCCAAATACCTGAACTACCTTTTGTAACTTATGGGATGACACCTTTAATACTAAATTTGTTTGGTGATAAGCATCCCCATTATAACAGCATAATAAAAAAAAACATATTTACCCTTCCTACCTTCAAATATCTTACAGAAATAACCTGCAAGAATTTATAAAGTGAATGTTTATAAGACAAATGTGATAAAAGCAAAAGTTTAATTTAAAAGGCTAAGATACAATGAGAAAGCTCGGAATGACTAAAAACGGGCATAATCAACAAAAGTATATTTTTATTGTGTCGCCTTGAAAAGGTGACATATAGGGGTTACTTTGGCGGCGGCGTCGTTGTCGGCGTCGGCGTCCCCTAAAGCTTGTCCGGAGCATAACTCAGTCACTATAAGTCTGATTGACTTCAAACTTGGTATGCATGCTTCTTTCAATAACCCGAAGTGCAGTGCACAAGGAATGGTACTCTGCAGTTATTTTTTGAGTTATTGCCCTTTGTTAATTTTCATACTTTAATTTTGTCCGGGCCATTTCTCTTCAACTAAATAAGCTATGGACTTGAAACTTCATAGGATGATAGATCTCATTTAGAAGAAGTGCAGTGCACAAGAACGGGTACTCTGCACTTCCTAATTTTTGAGTTATTGCCCTTTGTTAATTTTCATACTTTATTTTTGTCCGGGCCATTTCTCCTAATGTATAAAAGCCATGGACTTGAAACTTCATAGGATGATAGGTCTCATTAAGAAGAAGTGCAGTGAACAAGAACAGGTACTTTGCATTTCTTATTTTTTGAGTTATTGCCCTTTGTTTATTTTCATACTTTAATTTTGTCCGGGCCATTTCTCCTTAAGTATAAAAGCTATGGACTTGAAACTTTATAGGATGATAGATCTCATTTAGAAGAAGTGCAGTGCACAAGAATCTGTACTCTGCTTTTCTTAATTTTTGAGTTATGGCCCTTTGTTAATTTTCATACTTAATTTTTGTCCAGGCCACTTTTCCGAAAGTATAAAAGTTATGGACTTGAAACTTCATAGGATGATAGATCTCATTAAGAAAAAGTGCAGTGCATAAGAACTGATACTCTGCATTTCTTATTTTTTGAGTTATTGCCCTTTGTTGATTTTCTTACTTTATTTTTGCCCTGGTCATTTCATGCCATTTCTCTTCTAAAAAAGCTATGGACTTGAAACTTCATAGGATGATAGATCTCATTAAGAAGAAGTGCAGTGCACAAGAACGGGTACTCTGCACTTCCTAATTTTTGAGTTATTGCCCTTTGTTAATTTTCATACTTTATTTTTGTCTGGGCCATTTCTCCTAATGTATAAAAGCCATGGACTTGAAACTTCATAGGATGATAGGGTCTCATTAAGAAGTGCAGTGCACAAGAACAGGTACTTTGCATTTCTTATTTTTTGAGTTATTGCCCTTTGTTTATTTTCATACTTTAATTTTGTCCGGGCCATTTCTCCTTAAGTATAAAAGCTATGGACTTGAAACTTTATAGGATGATAGATCTCATTTAGAAGAAGTGCAGTGCACAAGAATCTGTACTCTGCTTTTCTTAATTTTTGAGTTATGGCCCTTTGTTAATTTTCATACTTGATTTTTGTCCAGGCCACTTTTCCGAAAGTATAAAAGTTATGGACTTGAAACTTCATAGGATGATAGATCTCATTAAGAAAAAGTGCAGTGCATAAGAACTGATACTCTGCATTTCTTATTTTTTGAGTTATTGCCCTTTGTTGATTTTCTTACTTTATTTTTGTCCTGGTCATTTCTCCTCAAGTATGAAAGCTATGGACTTGAAACATCATAGAATGATAGATCTTATTGATAAGAAGTGCAGTGCACAGAAACTGCTGCTCTGCACTTCTTATTTTTTTAGTTATTGCCCTTTGTTATTTTTCATATTTCATTTTTGTCCTGGCCATTTCTCCTAAACTACATTGTTCACAAGGCGACACATCCGGCTCGCGGAGTTCTAGTTACTGAAAAGATTGTAGGTTTCTCTAAAACACATGAACATTGTTCAGATATATTATACAAGTTGTTTTTTAAGATTTATCTTTACTGTAGTTGGCAATCAAAACATCGGTGAAAATCCATGTCATTTGAGATGCAATTGGTTTTATCTATAAGCTAATTATGAAATTTTATTATCCCAACAGAGCACAACAGGGATTCACAGGCGATACTGCTTGCTAATTAGAGCATTATAGAATATCCACACATACAATAGCAAGAATCAAACTATGCAGGTAAATTTATAGGATCAATTTATTATATAGATAACTATCATTTTCATTGTTAATTAATAATTTACATAATCCAAATTGCAAAAAAGGGTGAATAATTTTTTTGATCATACTTTTTGAAGACATTTGTCTTTTTCTTTTTAAGTAACTGTTTACTTTTTAAAGAGTTTAATGTAGAAAAAATAAGAAATATATTAAATATCTTTTGCAAAAAACTTTTATTTAAGGCAAGTGGTGGTCGACGTGTCTGCCTCTCAAGCCAAGAATCATGGATTCGAGCCCGATTCGGGTCACGATCATGATTCCTCATATGACACCAGTACTGGTTAGTTCCATGAAGCGGACTAGAAAGTGATTACTATAAGTTGCAAGAATGTGTTTCGCAATCACGCTAAAATAATTATGTTTAAATTAAAAACTATTTAATGAAATAAATATTTTTCTCAGTAAATACTTGTATTTTACTATGAATGGTATGAATCTTGTTTTTTATTTTTACAGGATTGATTCTTCATAGCGGACGAGAAATATAATCGATGTAAGACATTTTATTCCGGAATAACACGTGCATGGACACTAAAGTGACATTTACTATAGGAACTGTCTGTCCACTGGATGGGGGAGAGGTGTAGTGATTGTGTGTGGACTAAAACCATCCAGTATATTAAAGTGAGACAGGGTGTTTATGATTGGAATAACTATAAAACTACACTTCTTCCAATGCTGCCTAGTTCTAGTAACTAGCATGTCCCAAGCCATGATAAAAGCAGAGGGGGAGAAATGAAGTTCATAGTTTATGTAATTGATCAAATGTAAATGCAAAATATTGACTTAAGTTGTCTTCAAACATACCATATTTCTAAGGAATTATGTATATGATATACTTATATTTCAAGAGTTCTTTCTTTTTTAGTTTAAATTTTAATCTAGCTTTATACTTTTTGGGATTGTTAACTTAATTTTTGTTCATATATGACAATGCTTTTCAATGTTCTCATAGACGAAGAATTATATTTCACAGTGAAAACTGTCCTTGGAGAAACAATTTTTACTACTTGTAGAATAGAATTCTAGACTTTAAAGTTAGTTTATTACTGAACATGGCTTTATACAAAGAATACTATTTCAATCACCTGATCACATAAAAGTAAACAAAATGAAACTCTCACTGCATAATCAAAATTCATGCTTTTCCAGAAGAAATATTTATTATTCTACCAGGATTCCATTTTATTTATAAGTTTGAAAAAGACCAAGACTTCAATAGCATTAATCAATATACAATTTTATGTTTAGAATGCATTAAGATATGACAAGAAATATGTCCTATGACATCTAAATGAAATTTTCAATAACTGATTTTTATTGGCGACGCCGGTGAGCGGCGTCGTCTATTATGGAATGCTTTTTATTTTTGCCTATGGAAGGAGCTGTAATTATTAGCAGTTAATTTCATGTTGTGTTAATTAGTTTTATTTTGATTCGTAAAAATCAAGTAAACAAATGTGTTGTTATATTTGTATTTAATAACTTTATGTAAAAAGCATGTGCATTGTGATATTATTTTCACGAAATTGCAGGTTAAGTTTAACAGCGTGTCCCTTAGTTTTAATGACAATACTAAAACCCGGATTTCGAATATCGTTGTGGTCTAGATTGAGGCCGTATCAGTTCATTCATTCATTTATACATTTTCAAAATTTTCCTACAAGAAGAAAGTTCACCTGCAATTGAGTATAAGGATAGGTAATGGAACTGTTGTAAACGATTATCCTATTGATTTTATCCTTATTACATTTATCTGTTGCGCAGAATGGTTGTTTTTACAAAGTGTACCAGTATCCGGATGTTGAAAGCTATCCGATTTTCTGCAATTACTGCTGACACATGGCCATCTATTTTTTTTATGAATACTTTACCATTAATTTTCATGGCTTGATAAAACTGAACCTGCAGCATTTCATAATTTTGCTGTTTATGGTGTTCTTTTGGGTTTCAGGTTTTCTTTATTGTAAGGGGAAGTAACTCATGTTTACTAAATTATTTGTTCTTTTCTGTCTATCTTAGGTATTACTTATAATACTATTTTTGTTGTATATAATTCACCAGTTGTAAGGTCATCAAAAGCATGTTAATGTTAGGATTTCATATTTTTTTAATATAAACTGGGAATTATTAATGTTATGTGCATGCATGTATATCTTAGACAGTAGTATATTGATATGTTGAGACTTATAATTTTTCCACAGACGCTTGGGGTTTGGAGCTCAAAACGCCTTTAAAATCCAAATAAAATGCATATTTGTCAATCCCAGGACATGCACTGATCATATATATCAAAAAATCTTAATATATGCCGTTTTGAAAAAAAATCATATTTCAACAACTATAATAATACACAAGATAAAAATGTTCGCCGGAAAAAATCCGCACCCCTACCGTCATAATCACCATGTATTTTAATCCATTTCCAATATTTTCACATAATCCTTTGGTCCATCAACACAGAAGATATAATTCTTCACGATGATGGTCAATTTTAGACTTCAACGGTAATATAAACAACGCAACAGCCGAAATAAACATCAATATTCTCGCCGTTTTTTTTCAACGACAAAAACTTTCGATAAATTCAATGGACCAGACGGCTATGAACGAAGCTATCCGATTATGTGGCCCCAGCTTTGCCGTGTGCAAAATGCGCAGCGCTTTTAAGTTTGGGAACCACATAATCGGATAGCTTCGTTCATAGCCGTCTGGTCCATTGAATTTATCGAAAGATTTTGTCGTTGGAAAAAAACGGCGATAATATTGATGTTTATTTCGGCTGTTGCGTTGTTTATATTACCGTTGAAGTTTAAAATTGACCATCATCGTGAAGAATTATATCTTCTGTGTCGATGGACCAAAGGATTATGTGAAAATATTGGAAATGGAATAAAATACATGGTGATTATGACGGTAGGGGTGCGGATTTTTTCCGGCGAACATTTTTATCTTGTGTATTATTATAGTTGTTGAAATATGATTTTTTTTCAAAACGGCATATATTAAGATTTTTTGATATATATGATCAGTGCATGTCCTGGGATTGACAAATATGCATTTTATTTGGATTTTAAAGGCGTTTTGAGCTCCAAACCCCAAGCGTCTGTGAATTTTTCTGCATTTAAAGAGATACAGTTATGTCATTATTATTAAAGGGATGAGACTTTCATTTAAAGTTATAAATGATAAAACATGTATTGATTGAAAATGTCCTTAAACTTGGATCAAGCAATATAATTAATAAAGTCTCAAAAAATCATATTCTGAATAGTTATTCTATTTTTTTTCTAACATGTGCATAGTTTGAAAAGGACAGCTTCTGTCTTATCTATTTGTAATGAAGGGACACTGGTCTCAACCTCCAGGTCTCCTGAGTCAACCCGACAACAGACTGTACATAGATTAGATTGTTACTTGCCCTTGAATAAATTTGTGCACTAAATTTATAGTGGGTGATTTGTGCCACATGAAAACCAACATAGTACAAAAAGTAACTGGGCGCCAGATGAAAACATGAAAATACAATCTACCACAAAGTGGTTTGTTTGTTGCATTTTCATGTTTTTGCCCGGTACCCTTGATGCAAAATACAAATCGGCCTTCATAAAATTTCTTATGTTGGTCACAGGTTTGAGTTCTGGTCAAGCTCAAAGTTTTTCTCATCCTGTGACTGCATATAAGCATGAGTTCAATTTCCTATGCTCTGTAACATAAGAAATTCACGAACACAAATCGATATAGTGGGGAAATATGTTGTGGTTTAGAACTGTTTCATTATTAAAGAGAAAATGTGTAGCAGGCCGGATAGCTCAGTTGGTCTTCTGAAAGTCATGGGTTCGAGTCATGGTCAGGCAGTTTCAGTCAGGGTTTAGAAGTGGTTTTTCAATTGACACATGTTTGATTCATTTAACAGATTGCATTATTTGAAATGGACAAAGGCAGTATTGTATGATACTTTTAGATCTACAAAGGGCATTTGATACAGTTGAACACACTATACTGCACATGAAGAAGTTGTTTTTCTTCTTCTCCATGAAACTTCAAGCATCTGCCATATATAATGACATTCTTTCATGGTTTAAGTCTTATCTCTGATAGTAGCTGGTTGATGTGGCTGGTACTCATTCTACTACAGTCACTGCTCTGAGTACCTATGCTGTCCCACTGATGTTCATTTTAGGTCCTCTTTTATGTCTAATATATGTCAATTACATGTCTTCAACCCTAAGCAGTAAGCTTTTATTATAATGCACAGGCACGAGTATCAGACCTTGGAAGAAAAAATATGGCCAGATTGATAAAAAAACCTGTGTTCATCTTAAAAGTGTCAACAACCAAAATAAAATGTAAATAATGACCCCCTTTAAAAATATACTTCAAGTTGATAGTATATTTTTAAAGGGGATCATTATTTACATTTTTTTTTTTGGTTTTTATAAACACAGTTTTTTTTTATCAATCTGGTCATCTGGTCATATTTTTTCTTCCCAGGTCCGATACTCGTGCCTGTGATTATATGCTGATGACTCAGGAATCCTTGTGTCTCATAAAATAAATCTGAAGAAATTCTTTCTTATAGCATGAGTCTTATAAGATTGCTTAATTGACTATAAATTGTCTTTGCATCTTGGCAAGACAGAGTCGATTCTTTTTTGGTTTAAGTTTCAACTTAAACTGGCCCTAGCCTCCAGGTCACATGTAATGGTACTGCTATAAAGTACACATCTTTTGTTAAGTATTTAGGTGCAAATCTGGATCAAATTCTTTTGGCGTCGCCCTTTGATGCTTTGCATCAATGATTTTCTTGTATTTTACTGGACTGATTATTGCTGGGTAAGGATAAGGAATTTCCAAGTGAATTGATACTGTGACATTAAACATTGTAGCTCTCTGACAACAGATAATGTGGTGGTATAATAGTGTCGAATATTACAATCCTGACAGCCAATGAAACATTATGTTAACATTTATCAACATGTCACAGGAACACATATTGAAAACACATATTTCATGTAATTACATTTTGTGTACTTTTGTATTATGTTCTTGTAAAGACTTTTCATATTAAGTACTGCTGCCAAAAAATTGATAACATATACATTTAAGTATAATAATTTAGTATACATATAGCATCCACCCTTGGGAGACATAGATATTGGTTGCTGCAGAAGAGATGTTAAACCGCCTCCGTGGTCGAGGAGTTAAAGTCGATGACTTCTAATCCAGTTACCTCTCTGGCGTGGGAGATGCTTTGGTAGTTTAGCGCGGAGGAAGGTAGTCTAGTACTGGTGTAACTCTCCAGGAACGATGGTTAGGAAACTACCCGCCTATATGACTGAAATACTGTTGGGAAAAGGCGTAAAATGAAACAAACAAGAGATGTTAAATTTATTGCAAAGTCTTACTTTGGGAAAATATGATTATGTTGTTGTAAAGGGATGATTTCTCTACAGAGGTTAGATTTACTTGAAGTCTTACTAAAATTGGGAAAGAAATGATACTGTTGTTGAAATGATGTGATTGAACTACAGATGTTAAATTTATTGTAAAGTCTTACTTTAGGAAAGAAATGATATTGTTGCTGTAAAGAGGTGATTGCACTATATAGGTAGAGATGTAATTCCTGTCATTTTTATTCCCTGCGGTCTGGAGACCGCTGGGTATTGGTACGCGTTTTACTTTTGAGGCATGGAGGAGCGTGTGACCTGTTTTCGGTACATGGAGGAGCATGTGATCGGTAAACCGTACATGATTGGTTAATTGACCTTTTCGAAAACCTGGCGAAATACCGTTTGTCGGTACGTAACGGATTTACCTCTAGGGAATAGTCAGAGTGACACCTAATTAAGAACAAAAAACTATTACGTGATATTTCTAAATTTCTATAATCATTTTACCGTTTAAGGTGGAAAAACTTGAATGATGTGTTTGAAAATTATCAATGTTTCTTTAATATGTATCTCAAATTTTACAAACAATAAATTGTTTATACTGAAAAATCTACAAAATTAAAATATTCGTAGTGGCATCTACCAGAATAAATAGAGATATTTTCTGCGTAAACTTGTGTGTTTACTTTTTTTGCTCGGAATTATTCATAAAATGGTAGTCCTATTTAATCATTTTCTTAAAAAGAATAATTGTTTTATGTTCGACCTTCTCCGGTCATTAACGATCACCAGTTTTCAAAGACCTTCTTCTATATTGATCGATTATTATCAACTATATTCCTGATAAAACCACGCGTTTATTTATCCCCCCCCCCCGAACAATGCTGAAAATAGTTAAATGAAATATATTTATATCATTAAAAATGTTCCCCGCAGGAAACCATTTTACTTGTATATTAATGGCATATAGATAAAATGTAATACCGCCTCCGTGGTCGTGGGGTTAGAGTCGATGACTTCTAATCCAGTTTCATCTCTGGCGTGGGTTCGATCCCCGGGAGATGCTATGGTAGTTAAGCGCGGAGGAAGGTAGTCTAGTATTGGTGTAACTCTCCAGGAACGATGGTTAGGAAACTACCCGCCTATATGACTGAAATACTGTTGGGAAAAGGCGTAAAATGAAACAAACAAACAAAACAAACAAGATAAAATGAATAAACAGAGTAATAAGTTAATAAAATTGATATAACTATTGTGTTTTCGTATTTACTTCATTATTGGTCCTCGAACATCGGTATTGATGACTAATGCCAGACTAATGATCAGACTGCGCGGACTGGACTTGATCCATGCTGGTCGCAAACCCATTATGTTGGTTTTTTCGTGACGCGGCTCAAATTATAAAATTTCAACATGCGTCGCATGATTTGAGCTTCGTCAATGTTTATTTAAGGCGCTCTGAGACGTTTCAGGATGCCATTAAATCAAAAATAATTTTCAATTTAACAGATTAAACATCAAATAGTGAAATTTATCATCTGTGGATGTTTCAAAATTCAAAATTGTACCAGTTCATGTTAAATGTTGAATTCTGCTTAAGCCGGTGCTAGGGAGGCGTGGACGGTAACTTGCACTTACCAGTACCGTCCATGAACAGGCTCAATCAAACCGAGCCTGCAATATTTTCAATTTTGTCCTTTTGGGCTTTCTCTATTTTATCAGATCAGTATTATTTATAAACTCAGGGTTATTCTGGATCATAACTCGTACGTACATACAAACGATTTATGGAGTTTAAATCGTTAATTCCTGAAGTTGAAGTCGTGAATTCTCAAAGGTAAAATCGTGAATTCGTGAATTCGGTATGTTGAAAACGGGAATTCACGAAGTTTAAATTGCGAATTCATGAAGATGAAATGGCCCTACCGGTCTTTCGTACTGTACACAATTAAAAATATTAGTTACTTAACTTGTTCTTACTGTTTTCTTCAAAATTAAAAAAAAAACCTTGTATATAGACCTATATTTATAGCATAAGTCAAAAAGAGTTTACTTGTACTGCCTTATTAAACTTCCCGAATTGTACGAACGAAAGCGCTTACTAATGGTGCTTCCCAATCAGTATTAACATTTCAGTCTTTTTTGTTTTCTTTTTAATGGGAAAAAAGGAATAAAGCTGATAACAATGTTGGATATAGATATGGATCTGAGTTATAAAACTTGGTAACGAATTATGATAAGGTTTGAATGTAGCGAAAGTTAACTAAGGCAACTATGCCTCTTATTTCACCACAGCTTTCTATCATCTTTAACATATGGGCAGCGTCACGACAAAACCAACGTACTGCGTTTGCGACCAGCATGGATCCAGACCAGCCTGCACATCCGTGCAGTCTAATAAAGATCTATGCTGTTCGCTATCAGTTTCTCTACTTGTAATAGGGTTGGTAATCTAACAGCATGGATCCTGATCAGACTGCGCGGATGCGCAGGCTGGTCTGGATCAATGCTGGTCGCAAACCCATTATGTTGGTTTTGTCATGACGCGGCTCATATACATGAACAATAATTCTCTGTAAATATTTCGTGATAATTTTTGTTTACACTTCAATCTTTATATCAATTATATTATTAGACCTTTTGTTCTGTTATATTCATTAATATCCTAATAAAGTTTAATAACTAGTTCATTGTTGCTATATTTGGAAAACGTTCTCTTGACATTTTCTTCATATTATGTAAAATTTTACGTAGAGTGTTGAAAAATAATAGTGGAAGACGTATGCCATAGAAATAGGTATTATGTTAAGAATCGCTGTCTTAATGACATATGTTTTAAAGATATTTATGATAAAATCTGGTCTGTACCGTATATGGGCAAAATGAAATGTCTTTTTCATCACTTATTCGCTGGTTTAATAAGTTATTATACTATTATAGTATATAATAAAAATAATCAGTGAAATCTATACAGAAGGAAATTTCACGGGCTTAGATGCATTCATATTTGAACACGATTCTGGTCCTAGAATTTGTATTTGACACATTTTTGAAGAATATTCTGGAATTTTATATGTATAATTATCTTGAACATTCCTTGAAAGTGACATTATAACTATTCAATTATAAATGGTCAGGGAACAGGTAAAAATAAAACTATATTCATGGTCAGGGAACAGGTAAAAATAAAACTATATTCATGGTCAGGGAACAGGTAAAAATAAAACTAACTTCATATTTTGACATGATTGTGTTGAATTTTATGTTTTACAATTATACATTAATAAATACACCTGATGGCCAACGAAATTTTCTATAATGTCTCTGTAACGTTCAATTATCAAAAAGAGTGGGTGAGTTTTTTCATAATTTTGGAAGCTTTTTAATTAAATTGCACCAGTTTTCATTTTCAATTAACGGTCAGCCATTGTTATAGACAAATTGAGTTGATTATGTCAGCGAAAACATGAGAATAATGTCATTTTAATAGGATTGTCAAATTAAATCTTTGGACATAAAAATATTGATTTAAATTTTTATCAGTTATAGTTTATTTATTACCAAAACGTTTTAAACTAGTTTTCATTACTAGTATTCTTCGTAATTCTTTGATTCAATTTTTCAACAATTTATGGGATATTTCCTTGAAATTTTATGTGGACATTTGTTGAAAATACTACAAGAAAGGGTTTAGAAATTTTGATCATTTGTTTGGATCAATATTAAGGACATCACTTAATCATTTCAACATCAAGGTACTGTAAAACTTTTGTATTTTTATTATCTAGTTATTTGTTTTAATAATGAACAAATTTTGTTTTAGGTTTTGCTTTTTTGTTACACCTTTGGCTGGTATCAATACGAAATACATGTATAATGCGACATATACCCAGTCAAAAAAGTTAAATGAATGAAAAATAACATCTGTGTAAATTCAGAATATTTATTTTCAATCCAGAAATTAGTTATAATATAACTTTAGTTTACGAAAAACAAGATTGCAAATTTGTTTCCTTAATTGAAAAGAGGTCCAACCCAAAGTTTTGTTTTACTTTTGGCATGTCAAACAACATTTGGTTTCCTTACCCCATGATGTTTTACAACACTTAGCTTTCTTACAACACACCTTCTTTAATGCTCCATTAACTTCGATCTTTGAACAACACTTGCCACCAAAACAAGGTGCAGATGTAGGAGCTGGAGTTGTGTTGACTGCTGTACAACACGATTTATAACAATCTGTTTCGGCCGCTTCATCAATTTTGCAGCAGTTAGAACCTTTACAGCACTTCTTCTTGCCATTTACCTTCACACAGCACTTCTTTCCCGGTTTACAAGGCGCAACGGTCGTTGTGGTCGGTGCTTCAGTGGTTGATGTTGTTGTGCTGGTTGACGTAGTAGTTGTTGTACAGATGTTAGGTGATGACGTGGTTGTTGTTGGACTCGTATTCCCAACACAGCGACCCCGATAACACCACTAAAAAGGATAAAATTGATTTAGTATTTACGACTAACACATTAAAAAGATTCAGACGTCTTTTTGATATAAAAGAAGAATCATATATACTTCTTAAAACATGATAAGGGCCAACTGTTTTCTCCGATGACTGCCTCGCCAATTATAATATTTGCAGGAACATAAATTTCTTGCTTAGACGGAACGCTACTTGGTTATGAAACAGCTTCCAGAATGCAACAATGTACATGTAACTGTAAGAGTTTTGTCCGTATAAACTGCGGAAGTTTCTAAATTTGAATTTCACCATTACCATGTTTAAAATTTCACCATTACCATGTTTAAATGTTGAGATCTGCTTAAGGCAGTGCTAGGGGCGTATCAAACCGAGCCTGCAACATAATCAATTTTGCATTTTTTCACTTTCTTTAGAGATTTTTTTGTTTTCAGTTTTCTACCTTTACAAATAGAAATATATACATGATGCTGGTATGAATGTCAGACGCCCTGCCATATGTGTTCCTTTGACACATAGCCACGTGAGAACACCTGCAATGTGTTCGTGACTATGTGCAATGAATAGACACCATAACTTGACTGCTGATTTACTGATGAGTCTAGAGTTTGCCTAGACTTCACATATCGACGCACCAGAGTGTGAGATAGCGAGGGAAATCAAATGAACGCTTTTGACCTGCTTCCATCTCGGAAAATGACCGATTATGTGAAGACTATGATAAACAAGATCAACAACTAGAGGCGGCGTTCAATGAACGCAACCCCACGCCATCCAGCAACAAAAACCAGCGGCAAGGAGCACAAGAGTTCCCAAACAAAAAATAGGACAGGACGCAAGGCAGAACACGGACAGTATAATCACTAAAACGATATTCATGGTATGAGTAGCAATTATTTATATATAAACATTGCCAGCAAAAAAATATTGTCGTGAGATTTTGTCGTACATGTACGACCATATGCAGGTGCAGTAGGTCCAGATTTTATTCTAATAAAGGACAATTCTCGCCGCATTACCCAATACTTTGCATGTGAAATAATCGGGATCTTGCCTTTATCTGCTAGATCCCCGGACCTTGATCCGATTAAACATTTGTTTGGAATAGAAGGGCAATATGAATCCGAAAATGAAATTCTTTTTACAGTACAGACATTTATTAAATCAAGCAAGAGATTTAATTGAATAAAATCAAATATTTTACTGCTGAAACAGTACTTTAAGATTAAGCAAGGTTATGTGCGTTGAATATTTTTGTTTTTTATCTATCTATTTTTTTCAAGTTTTGTAACAAATACAATAATTTTGTTATTTCATTCTATTATTTATTCCTTTTTCTCGAAATTTGATACTTAGTACACGTAATTCAAAAGCTATAAATAACTTTAAAGGGAACACTATTGACTTTTGAAACTTATACTTTATACATTAAAATATTTAAATAACTTAATTTTGCCTCGGTCCTATTCTCAAAACATCAAGTATATTGTAATACAAAAAAATAAAAAACCTTATTGTTCGCCACAGCACCACAAGGTGTGCCGGCTAAGGGGTAAAGTGGATGATGAGCCTCCTCGCAGCCGACTGGTAGATCCGATCTTGTAGAACAATGGTAGCCAGTATAACAAGCCTCTTCTCTTATAGTCTTAAATACAAAATAAAGAAATGTCATTTCTAAATCTAAAATGTTTTGATCAACAATATGTATAAGAGTATCAATTTAAAATACTTTTAACATTCGGATCTTATATCAGATAATTAAAATATTTACTCTGCCTTTAATTTGTTCGCCACCAATTGTTACGGGAGTTATAAATGTCAGAAATTGGTCATATTTACACTTTCGCAAGATGTCGACCAGATTCCGTTGTACATTTGGCATTGTTGGTTCAAAGAATAGACTGTGCCTGGGAGTGATTTTGCCTGCAGCTCTTCAAATTCCAAACCAGTAAAAGCATGCTGCTTAAGGCAATTTTTTTGAAGCCTGAAAACAGATGTAATCAAAGCATTTAAAAAACTTGTGTAAGGCGATTTTCTAGAATAATTCAGAAATAATTGTACATGTACTGTACTGATAGTTCGCATTCCAGCAAACATTTTAAGAAGGAGCGGTGGGAAGAGGGAACAACGTTGATTCATTCAATATTTAAAACTTCTTGATTCTACAATCAGACTCAACCCACGGTAAATGCATTGTCTATAATTCCATGCTACAATACTGATCAAGGTATCTGCGTGTAAGCATAAACTTAATTTACAACACTACAATTTATAGACAGCTGACATCATGTTAATACATTCTTTATAACTAAACCGCTAAATGTGATACTGTTTGAGCAATAATTCCCGAATCAAATTCTTTTCTAAGCATATACAATGCGCGATACGGGAATAAGGTAGGAAAACACTCCCATACTAAAAAGACAAACAGGCATTGTCCTTTATAACATACTTAATTGAGACGACAGAGATGTGGTTAGCGCATTTATGTATTAAAATTAAAGATTTTTTTACTACTTAAGAAACATGTGAAGAACTTATCACCTATGTTCATTGAGGTAAATAATAAGTAACACATTGTTTTGTCTAATTTAAAGCGTAATAATTATGGATGTAAAATAAAAGTATAATGAAAGAGGATCTGATAATAGCAATGACTAATCACTCAATGGATACAGTATGTGCTCAACAATATCTACATAGTAATTCATCGTATTTTTACTTAAAGTAATTGCAAAAAGGCAATCCTAAATGTGGTTGATAAAATAAAAACTTAGTGACCCATAATGTGATGAGATAATCTCTTTAAAGGAACTTCATTGACTGCGGTCCAAAAGCCAAAACACATAAATTAGAATTTGTTCCATAGAACATATGCGGCACTTTAAATATATAAAGATATGTAAATGATATTTCAGAAATATACTTAGAAATAAATTAAAAACTAGTCTAACCCCTATTTGAGTGAAAAGTGTAACAACGCTTTTCAATTTTAATTCATTTGTTTACAATTAGAATAATTATTCTGCAATAATGGAGTGCTCAAATGATATGAAATACTGCACACAAGTTATTGGTCTGTACCTACAACATATGGAACATAAATCTCAAAATATTATTTTCAGTCCATCAAAGTCAGAAAAAAAAACTCAGTGGAGTCCCTTTAAAGTTATATAAGAATATCTCATACAGTCGTGTGTGCATCAATTGTCTTTGAATGCTTTCAATGGGGGTATGAGTGCACTGAAGATATACTGTTAAAACCGGGATATGTTCAATTTAAAAGAAGATAAAGAAAACAGGGCGGGAAAGATTGGTGTTAACAATATGAAGTTTTTTTTATTTAATTCGTGGTTTGATGAAGCGAGTACACGTTCTTCTACGGATGTTAATGCACAGAAATGGACCATTTACGCTGTAAAATTAATTTCTTGCTGAATAATGTTTGGACCAAAACATGTAATCTACAATGTATGAACGTTGAATAGTATAAATTAAATTTTCGCTTTACAAAAGCATATATTTACTGTTTAAATATAATCATGAACAAAACTAAAGCCTAGAAGCAACCAAGATATCCGGTATCGATGGTTGCGTGTAGAACAGTGGTACGCTATATTTGACTGAAATTGCCCTAATGTAACTTTGGGCAGTCATATATGGTAAGTTATGGCGAGTAAATGTGAACACGAAAACACATTCAATGTGATATTTGGTCAGTTTTCACATCAGGATTCACAAGATTTGGTCTCATTAAATGTCACTTTGTACAGACATTACTTTCTTTGATGTATATTTTAGGAATATATTTAAGGAACGATAAAAAAAAAACCCAATTGAATATCCAGTCAAATATAGCGCACAGCTGTACAACGCGCAACCGGTCAACGGATGTTATGAATATATTTGATTGAAATTGTAGCAATAACTTCCAAAATGCCACAAGTAATTATTATTTATTTCTGTCTTTAATATAATAATATTACTAGAATTAAAGTCCCGTTGAAATCGTTAAGCTCTTTTTATACACTGACTAACATACTGTCGTAAGTTGATTTGCCAGATAAGCTGGTCATGCATTGTTTTTTGTATATAACATAAAAGTTTTACCCATTAATATATGACTTAAATGACGCTACACTACAAGCAGAGAATGACCACTGGGCTCGGGAGTACGTTAGGTTGGTGGTCAACGTTATTTCAGGTGACATGATGTTTTGGGCCGAAGCTGGACAATCTGCAGCGTCGTCTTCACCATCATGGAAGGCGCCTAATCCATGTGCTAGTTCGTGAGTGGCTGTCAGTGCAACTCTCGTCCCATCCACCTCCACAAAGGATACCTGCGCACAGAAGTACAATTTTAATATGTTTAAAACCTTTATCAATAAGAAGTTATCTTTTTTCCTTCAAAAATGATAAATATATTTGATAAACAATATTAACAAATTCAATAATAACATTGATTCGTAACAATTTGAGCATTTTTGCAGCACAGCTTCTTACAAAGTCCGGAATTTAATTTAAATCAAAGCAAGGCATGGTCTTGTTAGTGGCTCCTTTGGATAACCAACACGCCAATTCCTAAGACAACACAAGTTGCTATTCTAATAAGCATGACTTACGGTGCTACTAATAAAACAAATAAGTACATGTGACCACAGACCTTTTTTTTAAATATAGGAATTTTAGTGTATATTGTAACCACTGTGTGACTTTAATGTTAATGATTATGTGGTATAAGATTTTATTTAAACTACTTATTGATGAATCATCCTTGGTTTTTACACTTAACAAGTTTTCAAAGTTATTTGACGTTTAATTGAATGAAAATTATTTCCCGCCGAAAGTCTTTCTTTCATGTTTATACTTACTTTGTTTTCAGACGAACAAACACTTTCACGATACGATAACCCTTCAAATCCCGTAGAAATTGGAGTTGTTTCAAGGTCAGCAAGATCTAATCTGAAACATCAAAGTAAACTTGTTTGCTGTTATCTTTCTACAAATTTATACATTTTAGCAAACTAACACAACTCAATGATGTTTTGATAGATGTAACACCAAAGTTTAATTCACATGAAGTCACGGCTGGTCCAAAATTCCAAATTACTCTAAGATGATATATGTTTTGTTTTTTAAATAGGTTAAAGCGCTCGAAAGGAGTTAATTTTTCGGGGTGGGTGGACTAATTCATATTATTAAGATGTAAAATTTAATTGACATTAAATATCAATGAAGCGCTTAAGGTAATGATTTAAGTAGATTCTCTAATTTTGAAAAATTATTAATTTGTTTTAGTTGAATCTAAAATGCCAAATCAAACTTTTGAAAAAAAGAAGCGTCACAGATGTATAAGTATGTATTTTGTATGTAAAAGCTTAACGTGTTATTTCAGCATGGAGCTCGGTTTATAATCTTAAATACCTAGATTGTTACCAACGAATGAAATCTATTATTTTAGTATATACTGATTCATTGTAACAATGTGGATTGAAAAGTTTTATGCTTACTGAAATATTATTAACACATAGCTTACCTGACGATAACCGAATGAAGTCATGTGAGCAGTGCAGACCAAGACAAGCCGGCACTGTTCGCTATACAGTCATTACTGATTTTGAATTTTTCTTGAATTGATACATGTTTTGTCCAGATTAGAAGATGGAAAGGTTCAAAGAGATGTTTAAAAGTTAAAAATAGTATGACGACATTGCCGTGTTATAATGTTATGTAACCGAAACGAAAACATGTAAGAAACATACGTGGACAAGCCCATGAGAAAGTCGTGCTGAGGAAGGCCTTCTTCTTTTTGACGCCAGACTTTGAGGTCGGATAGAATTCTAGACATATCTAGATAAGTAAAACACTCTAAAACCACACTTTGGGCTTTTGTTGACCACAAAACGTCAGAGCCAGCCTTGAAAATATAATAAAAAAACATATTACCTTGAAAATATAATTTAAAAATAACATTCATATCTTGAAAACATGATAAAAAACCCCAAATATTACCTTGAAAATATAATGAAAACAACAGTAAATATTACCTTGAAAATATGATTAAAAAACAAATATAACCTTGAAAATATAATAAAAAAACTATATATTACTTAGGTTTCCAAAATGATATTCACGCCTCATAAATTTTTCTCAATGTCTTGTAGCCTAGGTCATTGTAACATTAAATATAACAACCATATACATATGCATACGTTTTCAAATTTAACGTCTAGATAAATAAAAATACATTTACTAAGATTTTATCAGTAAACTTATCAGTAATTAAACCCCAGTCAGATAAATCTGTTGTAAGATTTATAATTTTCACTTGGTTTTAAGTGTTTAGTGCAATATCTGAGATTTTAATAATTATGTTACCAACCAATGAAATTATTGGTTAAAAAAACGCACAACATACCTTTGGGATAACAACGCCAGCTATATATATTTTGATGCTATAGTCAGGGTCAACCATATCCACGCTGCAGAAGTAGAGGTCAATCTGAAAGAAAAACATTTAAAAAATAAACAAAAATGTAGTGTATTGCCGAAAGAAAAGAAAAAAACTTGATACATTATCAGAATCACTTCTCGTGTTTTATAAAATATTAGACAAGCGCCTATTTGACTAAGAGCAAGATATAATGTAGCACATCCAACAGGTTCGAATGACCGGGAGGATTTCTCGTCAATAAATCAAAGTTAGAGCTTATCTTATAGCCAGTATGTTGCTGTCGTTCGCAGATGCGATTCGACCATTCAGAAATTCTCACGAACAAATTAAGCAATAGAAAAACACCCTTCAAGGGGAACATTTTTCATGTATACTCAGCAATTTGTTATTCATACTTTTTTTTCTGTACAAACATTTCAGAACCGCCATACTTATGTACATATTTGCTCACTTTATGCCTCATTTCGGTTCGTTATAATGTATTCAAAGCAAGTGATACAGAAAATAGTATTAAAGAATATTCAAATGAAATGACCCTGAAGATGCTTTGAATTACATTTAACCGATTTCTAATATTGGGTATGATAGAATGCTATAATTATGACGAACTGAAAAATATGAAATTGTGTAATAATGGAATACAATGAATTGTGTATAATCTAATTTTAACACTGTACATTTGTGTATACGTATATTTTTACATTGTGCATAATTGAATTTCAATATTTTGTATACCTGAATTGTAACATTGGTATGAATAAATTTGACGAAACAATTACCTCGTTAGCTAATAGTGCTACATATTGTTCTATCGCAAATTCCGCCATTTCGGATCCGTATATTTCTGCAAATCTGAAAGGTAGTTAATATTTTATTTATGATCTACCTTTCAAGTAATTGTTTATCTAAATATATCGTTTTACAACCAATGCTGGTATATTCGTATCATGACATTAGTTGTCTTCACTTTGCACCATTTTTTGTGTAAGAAAATGCCCAACAGAAGTATAATGTGTGCGTGCTTGCGTGCGTGCGTGATGCGTGTGTGCGTGGGCAAATATTTCTAGCCCAGGTGTGAACAGTACATAATCCTGTCATAATCACGGGGGAGGAAGTGTTACACGAAGGATGGAGTTCTTATGATAACTTGTTCAGGTTTTCTTGTGATAACTGTCACGGAGTTCGTCGGAAAACATCTGTATATACTACAAAAACACTCGTTAAAATGATTATTTTCATCTTTCAAAACTGAGTTTTAGGTGCTAAATTAAACTTTAATGATTAAGTTTGTCTTACATCTTGTATTATGTGTCAAAGCCTAACTCACAGGCCATTTTTAATCGCCTCTTGCTTCAAATCTGGTAGTTTTCAGTAAAATTTCGAAATAACTTGCCAATTCAAAAGTTTTGACCTATTTATTTCTGGTCTTCATCCTTACCATACATAATCACCTAATTATAATGCAAAATTGCAATCATAAAGCACCGGCTAACAGTTTTATAACCGATTTTTCAAATGTCCCGGAGTTCCTGTGATAACCCTGAAGATGTCACAGAGTTCTTATGATAACTTTTGTTATTGCCAGTGTGCTTCTTGCGCTAAAACACAGCACGTTTTAGCGTTCTTTATTATTCAATAAGATTGTAAATCATTATAAAATGCAGTGCGATCATCCTTTGCACAAAAATGTGGATAAAAAGTTGGTTTTAAGTGTCTGCAAAGGATAAATAGCTGAATGGCTATCATCTACAGAAAAAATTGAACAAGCGGTCACTGATATTCAGCATAATAATGGCTTAAACCACAAAACAAAAATGTCTCAAAACGTACACGTTGTTCTCAGTTTCAAATGTTTTAAGCAACCACCTTTCTTAAGCAGACAATATATAGGCATGCTTCCCTTACCTAAGGGCTAAGTAATTTGTATCATTTTATACCATAATAAATAAGTATATAACCAGGATAATTTCCACACCTATGTCTTAAAAAAGTTCGATACATGATAAACTACCGATCTCTCGAACAAATTTGAACTGTCCCGCCAGGTTCAAGCGAACTAAGTTTGACTATATATTTTTGTTATCAATTACAGCAAAAGTAGCAGAGTTTCCTCCTCTAAGATTACATAGGGGAAATACTCATCAAACATCGACAGAAAAATATACATGAAAATAACATATTTGAGTATTTCAAGGCGCATTTTATCACGTACATAAATGCCTTACTGGTTTCATATAGCAGTTCCCGGCACCAAATCGCACTTTTTAACAAATAAAATAAAAATCTGTAAACTTTGACAGAACAAAGTTAGGTACCTGTCCAGCATTATCATGTTTTAATGTTGCTCTTTTATTTTACATTTTGATGGAATAAAGGCCTGAGATGTAACAACTTTGCCCACATTTATTCAAAATTTCATAGCAGTTTTTCGAACCTTTTTTATTTTGAATATAATTCAGTACCGATAAGCAATGTTGGGTTTTCAAATACACATGTAGATAACTTCCAAAACTTTTCCGTGTCGTCTGCAAATATATTGTTTAAAAGTAGTGATTTACCTAGAATGGGATTTCAGTTATTGTGCATGGGCATTCAAACTTGAATTCCACAGGTGTTGCTTGTAAGTGTCGCAAGTTCTCTAATGTAACTAAAACAAGAGACAAAACTTTGAAACACATTAATCGCTGTACTATTATAACTGCTGTGTTACATAGAAAACAATTGTTTCTTTGACTGATGCAGTAACATAGATGCTTAACTGAGAAAAAATAGTCTGTTTGCCTGGATGAAAATGATAAAGGGCCAGAATACTGCTAGGAGCCGGAAATTGCTAGGAAACCAGTATATAAATTCTTTTTTCCAGTCTACAAAATCTGCGTCCAAAAAAAAATACTATGGGTAAGAAATAATATCTCTTGAACTAAAATTCACTCAAAACCAACATTATATATCCTATTTTTTACGCAAAGGATGAGCGTACTACATTTCATAATGATTTACAATCTTATTGAATAATAAAGAACGCTAAAACGTGCCGTGATTTAGCGCAAGAAACACATTGGCAATAACAAAAGTTATCATAAGAACTCTGTGACATCTTCAGAGTTATCACAAGAACTCCGGAACATTTGAAAAATCGGGTATATATCTGTTAGCCGGTGCTTTATGTTTGCAATTTTGCATTATAATTAGGTAATTATGTATGACAAGGATGAGGACCAGAAATAAATAGGTCAAAACTTTTGAATTGGCAAATAATTTAGAAATTTTACTGAAAACTACCATATTTGAAGCAAGAGGCGATTAAAAATGGCATGTGAATTAGTTTTTGACACATAATACAAGATGTAAGACAAGCTTAATCATTAAAGTTTAATTTAGCACCTAAAACAAATTTTTAAACGATGAAAATAACCATTTTTAATGAGTGTTTTTGTAGTATATACAGATGTTTTCCGACAAACTCCGTGACAGTTATCACAAGAACTCCTGAACAAGTTATCATAAGAACTCCATCCTTCGTGTAACACTTCCTCCCCCGTGATAATGCAAAAAAATTCCGGTTTGTACCGGTAACCAGTTTTAGATCTTTATAATATGTGCTATGGCATTTAACAATTACAAGTTTTTAACCAAAGTCGCACAATCATTGCAAGGAATATTATGAATATATAAAAATCTATTTAACGGCAATCTTTCACTCATCAAGTACTGTACTTCTGAAAATAAAGTGAGTATTCACAAGATATACATGTAAATGTAACGTTTACCGTAATTAACGTTATCTATCTGATAATTATTTTAATTATAATAATGAGTTGACGAGTCAAAAGCACGAAATAAAAGAAATAAAATAGAAAATGAATATAAAATTTGTGCCGGGACTAAGAGCTTTTTAAGAAAATTTGATATAAATGCGTTTCTTTAACTCTTTAACGAAATTGATCAACTTAGCTATAATAAAATGGCACCATACTTATCATATAATGCTTTATCTACTGTAAACAACAGCTCGACTATGTTTCCGCCTGGAATGGGAGTTTCATCGTTGTTTGACCGGCGGGAAACAACAGCTTCTAGCACTCGCCTTTTCACTGGGAAAAAATACAATAAAATAAGCACATTATGTACAGTGAATTCCTCATTGATACTTATACAGTTTTCTTGATTTCGAATTAAATGTTGATAGTCGGTTACAGGCATCTAATGAAGGCAGCGTTTGTCGATAAGGAAACCAATTTATTTGTATCTGTGTATCTGTATCGTGGACCAATACATTTGTATCTGTGTTTTTGTATCGTGGGCTAATACATTGGTATCTGTGTATTTGTATCGTGGGCTAATACATTTGTATCTGTGTTTTTGTATCGTGGGCTAATACATTGGTATCTGTGTATTTGTATCGTGGGCTAATAGATTTGTTTCTATCTATCTGTATCGAGGACCAATACATTTGTATCTGTGTTTTTGTATCGTGGGCTAATACATTGGTATCTGTGTATTTGTATCGCGGGCTAATACATTTGTTTCTGTGTATCTGTATCGAGGACCAATACATTTGTATCTGTGTTTTTGTATCGTGGGCTAATACATTAGTTTCTGTGTATTTGGATCGAGGACAAATACATTTGTATATGTGTATTTGTATCGTGGACCAATACATTTGTATATGTGTATTTGGATCGAGGACCAATACATTGGTATCTGTGTATCTGTATCGAGGACCAATTCATTTGTATCTGTGTTTTTGTATCGTGGGCTAATTCATTTGTTTCTGTGTATTTGGATCGAGGACCAATACATTTGTATATGTGTATCTGTATCGTGGACGAATACATTTGCTTCTGTGTATCTGTATCGTGGACCAATACATTTGTTTCTGTGTATCTGTATCGTGAACCAATACATTTGTATCTGTATCGTGTACCAATACATTTGTTTCTGTGTATCTGTATCGTGTACCAATACATTTGTATCTGTGCATCTGTATCGTGGACCATGACATTTGTGTCTGTATATCCTTATCGTTGATAAATACATTTGTATCTGTGTATCTGTATCATGGACCAATACATTTGTATCTGTGTATTTGTATCGAGGACCAATACATTTGTATCTGTGTATCTGTATCGAGGACCAATTCATTTGTATCTGTGTTTTTGTATCGTGGGCTAATACATTTGTTTCTGTGTATTTGGATCGAGGACCAATACATTTGTATATGTGTATTTGTATCGTGGACCAATACATTTGTATATGTGTATTTGGATCGAGGACCAATACATTTGTATATGTGTATTTGTATCATGGGCCAATACATTTGTATCTGTGTATCTGTATCGTGGACCAATACATTGTTTCTGTATATATATGTCGTGATCCAATTCATTAGTATCTGTGTATCTGTATCGTGAACCAATACATTTGTTTCTGTGTATATATGTCGTGGACCAATACATTGTTTCTGTGTATCTATATCGTGAACCAATTCATTGGTATATGTGTATCTGTATCGTGTACCAATACATTTTTATCGGTGTATATGTATCGTGAACCAATACATTTGTATATGTATATCTGTATCGTAGACCAATAGTATCTGTAAGCATGGATGCATTCAATGAAATATTATTAAACTAAAAAATGAACAGTATAAAATACTAATGGTAACATTAGTCACTAGATAATAGCTTGCACAAATATTTAAATGAAGAAAAAACCATATCAAGCAATCAAATTATAAAAATAATGTCATGTACCATTATCGTGATCGTCAGATGGCAATTCGGTATCCTTGATGAAGTTCTTTTCAGTTCTATGCGTTTGTTGGATAAAATGTTTCTTGGAAGCCTCGGGCACGTCCGAATGACTCATGTGGTATAAGACACCGTTATGGTTGAATGAACCATGCTGAATTCAACAATATTAATGTAAACGTTTTATTAGATTATTTAAAGTGCTACGCTTAATCCAGTTGGTAACCTTGTCGCTGATATAGGTTAACTTGTTTTTCATTTTATTTTGACAGAACTTAAAGAGACTAGAAAAATGTCTTCGTAAGAGAAACTAATGTGATATTTGAGACATTTGCGAAAAAGCTCCTTACATAAGGCGATTTAGCTTCCCTTAATTTGATAAAAGGGAGTTCTCCATTCAATTGATAAATATATCGTTGCAATTTTATTATAAAAGAACTCGTAGAAATACGGACATGTTTTTTTTTTATCAAACTGACGTTTAATGACTTTTTTTAATGACACCTTTGTTTTCATCCGCACATAATATTTTCAGTGAAGGCCTTTGCTCATTTTGGTTGGTATTGACAATGTATTGATCAAACCATTGTAGGTTCAAATTCCGCACAGGACTAATTTTATATGAGGAAGCCTTCCAGTTAGGCGTCTGGCAGGTCCGTGGTTCTGCACAAGGAACTGCTCGTGCCTAAACGATTCACGAACGAGCATCCGAGGGCCTAATAACATTTGCAGTGTTGGTATGACTTAACACATAACAAATCATACGACGTGGACTCGAAGCATACCAATTTTCAGTAGCTTATGATGAACCAAACTATGTATATACATGGTAGATTATAGATACTAAAGAAATTATGAACGTTAAATTAGATATTGTTATTGAAAAAGAATCACAATAAAATAATGCTCGAGTTGTTTATAGCGGTATTGTTCTACGTGTATTTCTGCTTAATTAGAAATCGTTTTACTTACAAGTCTGTACGAGTTATCATCTTGGCAGGTGATAAGTAAAGCGCTTCCATGTTGCACGTCTTGGTACAAAGCAAATCTCTGGTGTAAAATGAAAACAGCGTTCACATTTGGTTTATACAACTTTTTTTGTTCGATTGTGAAGGAAGTTTATAGCCTTTAGATCCATTTTTGAATCCGATCATGGAACCAACCGGTACCAAGAAATGAGTGTAAAGTTTCTTGCTGAAAGAACCAATGACTTGCCCCTGACAGGGTTTGAACTCATGCGGACAGCGATCCTTAGATAACTAGTCTGACAAATTAACCACTCGGTCATGCCGCCGTTTTACATTACCATTGCCCAAGCGCCTGCATTCACCTTGCAAGTGCCTACACATTTTATTATCTAGAGTCGGTAATAAGTGCAAATGCCAATTATTGATGTTGTTTACAAGCAAATGCCTTTAGTTTAAAATCAAAGCACAGAAGGCGCTGAATTTGTTTGGGTCTCAGAATAAGTTGTGAGATTATAAACCAATTTGTTTATAGTGCTACCAATGCTTTCTGGCGTTTTAATTGTAGCAAATTGGCTACAAGACTAATTGCAACACTGATAATCAATTTAATGTTTATTTGACTTACATAATTTGAAGGAAAAAAAATGAGTTGCCTGTACTGGGATTTGAACTCCTGACCTCTCGTTTCCTAAGCGAGCGCGCAAACCACTCGCCCACGGTGAAGTTATATGATAACGGCTTGAATAAAACCATATTATTCTAAAGTAGGGTTTGTAACGACGCTAACTGTTGTTTAACACAGATGTAAATAATCATAATAAGCATGTATATCTTTAAAGACTTAAACAATATTAGAAATATTTGATCATTCGGGAACTATTTTGCCTAAAAATATATGCGCTTGTCATTTGACCATCATTACGCAGTGATCTCCCCTGAATTTTCGGCGTAAATGTACATATAAAGGGAGGTAACCGCTTCAAAAAGCATTTTCAATTAACAGCATCAGAGTCTGAAATTTCGCTACCATTATTTGTTTGGTCTGACGACCCAAACAAATAAAAACTATTGCCAGGAATTGGGTTAGCACATTTTCTTTGAAGAACAAAGGTTTGGAAGTATATGAAAATTGTTATATGATGTTAGATTTTGAAAATTATCTTTATTTTGGAAAAAGAAATGCTTTTTTTATCATTTAATATGCAAATACATTGATAAGTTTGATAGAGGGTTCTTAGAATCACATAAATAAGCGAAGCCGTGATTGTGTAGTTAAATTGAAAATGCTTGTATTTGAATAGGCACAATTTAGTCAATATAGAAATATTTTTAAATGATAGATTTGGTAAACAAAAACAAGTTAAACGGGCTAAATGAAAGAGAAGACCGACTTAATAAGAAAAAAGTACTTACAATCTGATTTGATTTCAAAGTAACATCACTGATAATTATATTCAATTTTGGAAAAGATTTAAAAAATGATACAAGGATGTTTTATAAATAAAATAGTCAATTAAGCAATTGGTTCAATCTCGTGTTTTTTTTTTTTTTTTTGTTTTTTTTTTGTTTTTTTTTTATACATATATGCACAATGTGTCAGAATTATTAAAATAAAAATACATGACAAATTATGTAAAAATATAAAAAAAAATTAAACATACACGCGTTTCATAATTTGCAATACAAAACAAACAAATTACAAAATTATAACGTTGCAGGACCGAAGGCTATTATGATACCATCAAAATTTGAGCCGCGTCACGACAAAACCAACATAATGCGTTTGCGAAATCATGTATCCGCGCAGTCTGATCAGGATCCATGCTGTTCGCTTACAACCCTATAACAAGTAGAGAAACTTATAACGAACAGCATGGATCCTGATCAGACTGCGCGGATGCGCAGGCTGGTCTGGATCCTTGCTGGTCACAAACGCTTTATGTTGGTTTAGTCATGACACGGCTCTTTATACTAACGTTTGAAGAGATTTTCTTTTCTAGAATTGAGGTTCCGTTGTCTGTGACGTAGATTGGAGCGCTTTTCGACAAGTAAACATTTTTTTCCAGATTAAGTGTTATTCTTTCTCCCTGTACCAGGAAGGTAAAATGTAGCGTCGGACGGAAGTGACATTGTTGTACATCCCTGGCGGCTCTTCTTACCCTTCCAGTTTTGATTTCATTTACGGTCACGTGTTCTAAAATATATATTGAGCGTTTGTGATTGAAGATTTAACTACTTTCATAAATAATTACAATAATAATATTATAATAATGATGATAATGATGATGATGATAAAAATAATAATAGTAATAATAAAAATAATAATAATAATATAATAAAAATGATAACATTATCATCATTATTAACATAATAATAACAATCCTAATAATCATGATAATAAATATATTTTAATGATGATGATGATTATTATTATTATCATTACTATTATTATTATTATTATTATCATTATTATTATTATCATTACTATAATTACTATTATTATTATTATCATTATTATTATTATTATTTGATTGTAAGAAGGTTACATATTCAGACATGAAAGTAATATGTAGATTATTATGTATTTGCGTGATTTTGGATAATTACTATATTTCTATAATAATGATGATGATAATGATGATGATGATGGTGACGACGATGATAGTGCGATCTTTTTACAAAGAAAAATCAGAATAAAACTTACCAACATCTCCTGTAAGAGGTTTCAGCTTCAGTACCGCGTGTGTAGACAAAATACTACAATATAAAATTCCGACAGAAAGCAACATTTTGATATTCTCGTTAAGCATTTTAACAACAATTATTTTACTATTAGAAAGTCCAGAAAGTGCCTAGAATTCAAAGATTGCTGTCAAAAAGTCTAGCCCATGTTTATATAAATAAAGTAAGGCCAACTGAAAGAGACGCTGATACGTTTGTTTCTTGTTACGAAGGTCGATTTCATTACAGTTTTTCATATAACCGTGCTTTATTTTTAAGAAAGTATAAACAATAACGTTACTTGAAATTGTATCATAGTTCGGAGACCTTTCTGTTGAAAATGTGGCAGGGTTAAATCGTATACATATACATGCACAGTGCGTTAACTGGAGTGCGGGTATTAGTTACCCGCACTCCATAGCATGCCCATTAATTGGCTCATTTTGCTGGGGTTTACATATTGTGACGGCAGAGAAAGGGAAAGCGACAGAAATGTCATATTCAGATGTTTGTTCATTGGTTCATTTTTGCCGGGGTTTCATATTGTGACAACAGGGAACGTGCTTTTATGTTTGACTATGATACAAAAGAGAAAGGACACCAAAACACTCGGCAATCTGATTTATACTTGGGGGCTTCGCCCCCTCGTACAAATCAGATAGCCTCGTGTTTCGGTGCTCTTTCTATAACTAATTAGTTCTTATGCTTACTGGTATGCAAAGTTAACCATGTACTTCATTCAGCTACTTGTAGATTGTAAAGTGTGAGGGGAAAACAGTACTGTCTGGAGCGACGCAATTGCTTACCAAAGATCTGTTAGTAGTTGAAATTAAATCCTACGCTGATTTAACGGGTAAGCACTTTATGACGAGTTGGCGCATATTAGATGCATCAAAAACGAAAATGTAACGATTTTTTTCAGTAGACAAACTGTATTTTCCAATTGATTTTTTAAAGTCATCATATTTTGTTTTGATAAGAAAACTATATTTAGCCAATTCAAACCTCAACTAAGTTGAATTTTATTTTTAGACCAGTGAAAAATAATTTAATAGTAGTGGCCTTTATTTTCAGAACATTATCTGATGGTAGAATCTCAGATGTGGCATGGCCACCTTGCAGCTGGACGCGCTTCCGGCAAGTAATGCAATTGAAACAAAAATGGACAGTAATCTATTGTTTTCCCCAAAATATAGATATAATTGGATGATAAAATATGTTTCATATCTTGTTTCATCAAGTTCTCTTAATTATAATCAAAATACACTAAGGTTATTACGTCTTCCAGTAAGAGTACATTTTTTGCTAGAAATGATCAATTGCATATCAATGGATGGATCTATAATAGGTATAATTTCATGTTATCTATGTAACTATGTATTTACAGGCGCAGATTTCCTGTTTATTAACCAGAGGGGGTTGTAAAATTTTCACCAGGACTAATGCACATTCCACAAAAGGCTTGTCAGACTATTTGCTGAATTTCACTAGTTTTTACGTAGTTTACAGTCGAAGAACATAAGTCAATATCCAAATCTCAGAAGGATTCTAATACCTTCAAGATGGGTGGGGGAGGAGTCATGATCTTTTAACCACTCCCCCATTCTCTATCCGCGCGTGGTTTGTGTACACGAAATCCGATAGTATGTCACAAAACAACTAAAACTAATTACCGATGTTGACGACAGTAATAAAAAGGATAGTTAAATTAAAATCTTTCATTTATTATCACGTGACCATTTATTATTATGTGTGGGAGTGGATACCTCCTATCAATGCCACTCATTCATTCAGATATTGTTATCCACAATTTTACGGACGAAAAATAATGGTAATCTCATGATTTGCCATCAAGTAAAAAAGTGTTTTGTATGGAAGTAAACAAATACTACTTTGTTTGCATTTTGCTACTTTTGTGACAAATAAGTTTACATTTAGTGCCACTTTTTTCAGGTAACAAACATCTACCATTTCTCTAAAAACCATCATGTTTGCTCTGTCTAAAGAAGTAAAAATTTATTTGTTTGTTTGAGGCATAATATATTATGCTTATAAAATGATGATAAAAATAAACGAGAATGAACAAGACACACTATTGGATTAACAAAAAATAGAGAGAAAAAAAGAAACAAATTGATGGAAATTAGTTCGATTCGATCGTAGGTGAGCTGATTATCCTCTGTCTAAGCAATACAAATCGCAAATTAAAGGAAATTACATTATTTACAAAGATAAAGCAATTGGTGAGTGATTTGAAAGAACAAAAAGGCAAGTAAGCAAACATGAAAAAAAGACAAACAAGCAAACATGGCATTCCGTACAATAAGAACCAAAAAAAGCAAACATGAAAAAAAG